AAAACCGCGAAAAACGCGATTTTTATGTTATCATTTTTCGCATAACTGATAAGAGATAACAAGTTAAAGTCTTCGGGAATGTTGTAGAACTCAACCTGTTCTACAACTTTGCTGAAGACAGATATCTCTTATCTCTTATCAGTTCTGTAAAAAATGATATGGAAAATCTCGCGTTTTTGGCAGTTTTTCGCGGAACTGATAAGAGATAACGGAATAGTGTTTGCAAGAATATTTTAGTACTTGACATGCTCTATAACTTTGCTCAAGACACAAATCGTTTATCTCTTATCACACTCTAGTTTTCATACAAAAATGCACTTGGGGCACTCAGGCACCGGTTTCACGAACAACGTTATAAAATAGGTTTCACGGTTTGAAGGTTAATGTCAAATATACCTTATATCCATGGAAACGCTTTCCAACTTTATTTTTAGAAGATAGAATATCTAGAAATCGAATCATTAACAAATTCACATATACGATTTTTTACACTAAAACCAAAAACCCTGAAATTAATCAATGCATTTTCTCATTCTCTTTCCAGACATTTCAATGCAGACAAGATGGATAGTGAAATGAAATATTTCGTTTGTGTTCATAATAGAAAATATAATATTCAGGTAAACAATATATCACTTTCCGCATTCAAAATAATGCATTTTATCACATTCTCGTTGACAACTGATTAATGACACAATCAAATACACAGGCATTGATATCAGTCGGCTAGTTTCGTTTTTCCAGAATATCAGTTGAAATATATCGAAAAGCAGCCACTATAGATATATATAGTAGAAAGTGTCATACACTTAGAATGAATGAAGACCCTAAAGATATGAAAACTCCCCTATCTCTAAAATCGATGATATTGTATGTTGATAAAAAAAAAGAAATCTGTGCACTTCATTTAGCAATGTACGAATGGGTATATATACCAAAAAGTATACTTTTTATTCATTGTCATCGAGACAAATACACGTGCCTTTGGCTAAGCAGCAAATTTCGATCGAAAGCACACACGTGAACCTGTAAGACGACTATAAAATGTGTGGATGCCCATCGTTTTCATCACGTAGTTGATTGATGATCTGCCATACACAGCTAATCTAATGATGATACTCTGAGATGTTGTTATAAAAATTACATTCACTTAGAAATCCAACGATCAACTCACTACGATTCTTTAAGTCACTGATTGACTAATTCATTAATGGCAATGACCGAGAATTTGGTTTTCTTTTATAAAAATAAAAAATGGAAACAAACGTATTCATCAAGTAAACTTTTTGAAGGTAAAGCAATTTTTCTACGAAAAACTGAATGTGAAAGCAAAGTGTTAATCATATTTTTTTCATGCATAACCATTTTCTTTGAATACAAGCCATAAAGAAACTTCACATAATCTCGATAAGCTGATATACAATTAGTCACTTCCATGGTCAGTTTTCGAAATTATATTATCTAGAAACCAAAAAAACATTTCATAATATCTAAGTGATAAGGATGACGTACTTTGGTTGACATGGTTGGCCAATTTGGAATGATTCTAAATGAATTTTTATAGATGAATATTCGGAGAACGAAGATGATTACAGATATTTTTATCTTCCATTCTCTAGAGAAAGAACTCATGATTAGTAAATTTAAAATTTAAAATTTAAAACACGGCGAGAACATTATTTAACCAATGTTCGCAATGAAGTTCATGAGTTTTTTTTACAGCGATGACGACTTTTCTGTACAATACCTGAATTCGTTTACATAAAATGTAATACAATTTCAAAAACCTTTGATAAGTACCTCAAATCCAAAAATGGATTTTTCCACAAATTTTGATCTTGATTTGTATATCCACCGAAACAGTTTATCAACACAACTGGATAAAAGCTTTCAAACATTTTCATTCAATTCATAATGCCTGAGAGCGTACGCCGATCATTATATTCTTTATATTATGCACAATAAACCGCTATTTCACTCCGTGATATGTATGCATCAATAAATTGCACCCAAGATTTCGAACTAAATTCAAATACGAATACGGATGAATTTTATAATTATTTTGAATAATATTTCAAACTATATTTCGTGATATATTACACAAATAGCGTTATCATTATTTGACAAATCATAAAAAAAACCAATTGAATGAGTACATTTACGTGAAAATCGGGTGATAAATATGACTTCTTCAAAGACACACATATATACATATAGAACGAATTACATACGTAATCCAAACTTTTGCGCACCGCAGAAATTTTAATTGCATTCCGCTTAACACTATGACTGTTCTTGGGCATCCAGGGCCCCCAGCGAACTTTAAAGTTGAATAAAAGTACTAAACATTTCTCTACGCGAATGACATATACACATATGCATATGTGTGAGTATGTGTAAAATACAGCCTGCCCCAAAACATGTTACGCTGGATTGTTCTTGGGGGACTACAGGGCACCATGGCTATTTTATATTGTAACTGGACTATGATAAGAGATTTCGACTTGGTGTCTATGACGAAGTTGTAGTACTCAAGCTGTTCTACAACTTTGCCGAAGACACCAAGTCGTTATCTTTTATCATATTCGCGAAATACGCGTGAAACCGCAGAAAACCGCGAAAAAACGCATTTTTTTCCTTATGATTTTTCACGGAACTGATAAGAGATAACGAAATAATGATCGGAATAATTGTAGTACTCGACCAGAACTACAACTTTGCCTTAGACACCATCTCGTTATCTCTTATCAGTTCCGTGAAAAATGATAAGGAAAAAACGCGTTTTTCGCGGTTTCCTGCGGTTTCTCGCGTATTTCACGAAACTGATAGAAGATAAGTATCACAAGTATTAGAAAAAAATGCAGGGACGATTTTCTGAGGATATTTAAAGTGATGATTTTTTAGATCTATAAACGATCAACTTAGAGTATGGGGAACGTGTTTTCCAACTTGAATTTCCAACCGAAGTCTTCAAAAGAGTTTGTCACCCCATGTGAAAATATATTGACTAACTGCTTAAATCGATTTAAAGTGATTCAATTCACAGAGAGTTAAATTTGTCTTTGGAACCTTACCGAGAAATAGTCGGCTTCAGTCACGTCTCAGTCAGTCGTTTTATTTCAAACATATTGACTGAAGAATAACTATCAAGAGACTACAGCCGTCTATTTCGTTCGATATAATCATTTTTAGTTAGTCAAAATGTCCAAATCAAGCGATTGGCATCCCAGACGATACAATTCTATATAATGTTGCTCACAGTTGCATCAAAGAAACCATTGTTTTTGATATTTAATATCCTGAAACTCAATTTCCCCTTGATTTATTTATTTATTTTATTTATTTTATTGAACACCGCCAAGCTCTGGCTGAATATAATGTGGGTTTTGTTAGAGGTTTGGCCGGAAAAGAGTGCAAGACTGTTACAATTTTTATAAATAAAGAACAATGGTAGCAGTAACTTTCGAGTAACTTTCAGTTCTAGCCTCGTTAAAAACCTGGCTCTTTTCGTAAATTATGAGGTAATCACAATAGTAGGAACATGAAAACGAAAGCAGTCATACAACCACGATGGAAATGCTTATAGTAGTCTATAGTAAACGGTCCAGGATAACCCTTGGTAAACTTTTCCAAAGGGACAAAGGCTATGTGAAGCGTTAACTGTTACGCGTTAAATTTGAGACTTTGAGACTGCAAAAGTCGTCACTCAATTTATCCGATAGATAAATTGATGAGAAGTTTTACGTCGGTTAAGGCAGATCCATGTTGATTGCAGAGTGCATTGAGTTGACATGGACCATGATTTGAAACGTAACTAGATCATATGATGCTAAATGGTTATAATTCAAAATTGAATTCAAAGTTAAGAATATTAACTCGCCAAATCGTGGATGGCCACAACAAAGCACAAAATAAAAATAAAAATTTACAATAGATAAATGTAAACATCACAGATAAGATCATCTTTTCAATACACATAAAAGAATGTATGGAAAAATTCGTCAGTCTTCTAAATTTATTTCTTCCATTTATTGCAAAATTTCCTTTGGGATGATTTCATTTGGTAGTTTGTTTTGACCAAACCCCTGTATGTAAACCCCAAATGGGTTTTCCGAGTAAATTTCATACAAAGGTGTAAAGAACATCCAGTTTTTGAAGTTTTTCGTGGGGGATGTACCCAGGTTCACATTGCAAATAGCTGAAATTCAATCCGAAGCTTTGTCTCAACATGCCAAAACTTTTGGAAGTTACAGATCTTAATTATCTTTTGAACTTGTTGAGATATCTACCGAAAAAAAACGCGAACGCGGACTACGCCATACGCACGTGTTATAATATCGGTATTAATAATATTTTGATATTAATGCACAACTGTAATACGCACATCGCAATTTTACATATTTTTCATAGTAAAAAAAGTATTTTTGGGAGTAGATAACTCTTGATCGATGGGATTTGTATCCATTTATATTGCCTAATATGAGCTATAATCAGTTACATATGAGTTATTAGTGGTCGGTATGCGAAGATGTCAAAATATGGGAAGTAAAACCGATACTTTTTCTTAACAAACTATGTTTGTGGAAAAGTAATACACATATATATTGGGTTGGAGTTAGCGTTGACCAACACGACTAACACATGAAGCCATTTGTTATCAGCAACAAAAATAAAAAATCCATTAGTTTCGTTTTGTTTAGTCGTCTAATCAAATTGTGAAAATCTGTTTATGAGTACAAGAAATTTCTTCGAACATTTCTTTTCGTCGGTTTCTTGCGATAATTTTAATTTTCACTTCGTTTCAGATAAATTGAAATGAAAACACGTGATTCACAGTTATATTTCGTCAATAAATTTATCCGATATTTTTCATGCGTTGTGTTGTTCTAACGCATTTGCAGTGCATAAACGAGACATTGGCTGTCGTATTCTAGCGAGACCCCGCATGAACACTTTGAGTGCCTATATGACCAAATCGAGTGATGTTTTCACATATTTCTGGCCTCATTTTCTGTAATCTTGAAAAATTGACTTTTGATCAGAAAATTCTTAAATATACACTTTCCAAGGTGAAAACTTATTTTTTTCTCTGATTGGACCTTAGATATCCTAATTTCGGATCACTTTTACGACAACCATTTTGCTCTAAAGAGCACCAAATTCTGCGTTAATTGATGGCGTTAACACAACGCATCGATTGTTATTCACACTTCCCTAAGCAAAAAACTGTTGTAAAGTCTGACTATCAATTGCTGTGTATGTGTTATTGTCATCAAACCGTGCAGAAAATTTCCTCTTTACATTAGACAGACACCTATTCAATGATATCAACCCCTCGTGCTCAATCTCTCAATGAATGTATGGAAATAACGCACTCAACATTTTACCGAAAACACAAAAAACGTTTGGTAATTCGTCGAATTGCCGAATTTACTATGAATTTTCCCGTTTTGGTATTGAGTGAGCATATAGCATTTACATAGATTCTGACATAGTCTGATCTCGTTGGCAAAATTGACCCCCAATGATTTTTTCCGACTTCAAAAGTGAGGACCTTTTTTTTTGCTCCTCACTTTTGCCTCCGAGGGATCATTAAACACTAGATAGAATCGATTTTCAAAAGTGAGGACCTTTTTTTTCTTTTTTTTGCTCCCCACTTTTGCCCCCGAGGGATCATTAAACACTAGATAGAATTGATTTTTTTGACCCCCAAAGGAATTTTTGGTTTGACCCTCCCTGAAATTTTTGGTGTCAGAATCTATGAGCACTTAAAGTCCACTAGACATGGAACGATCAACACATACAGTCATGGACAAAATTGAGCGTACGCTTATGAATTTTGTGTTTTTTTTTCCAGTAACTTTCAATCTCAAATGTAATACATCAATGGGAAGTGCATAAAAAATGAATATATTGGCAATTTCGAACATCAAAATTGGCCGGCCAATAGGCGGCTTATGGCCCCCGATAAAAACGGCCAAAAATTCAAGTTTTTCTCCAGCCGTCCGATTTGAAAAGTTTAAATGCAGTTTTGAAGGCCTTCAGGAGCAGATACTTTTAAACGCTGAAAACTTTCTGATTGGTTTCAATTTGGTCAAGTTATGGCCGTTGGAAAAATGGCCGATTTTTTTCGAAAAATTAAACCAAGCGTTTGATTGCGAAATGTCATATGTCGTTGGCCTATTGGCCGGCCAATTTTGATGTTCAAAATTGCCAATATTATTCATTTTTTACATACTTCCCATTGATATATTACATTTGAGATGGAAAGTTACTGGAAAAAATAAAACACAAAATTTATAGGCGTACGCTCAATTTTGTCCATGACTGTATATATGCTCTTTCGACTCATTTCAAGTTCTGGGTCACAAAGTCGACTCCAGCAATATGTAATATGCTATTAAAAAGATGTTTTTTGAAAAGAAATCTATTCTAATTGACATTTCTTATTTCAATTCTATCTGGTTCGTTCAATTGTAAACATGAAATGCAGCTGAATTCCGAAGTGATGACAGTGGCCTGCAAAGAGAAAAAACACAAAAATACATTATTAGTACAATTTTTCTTCACTTTCATTTTCATTCTAAATTTTAATTCCGGACACAATTCCAATTGTACAAGATCAGCTTCGCAGCAGTTATGTCTACACAAACACAAACACAAATTGAAACTGAAATGCAACTCACCTCTTTGCCAGTTCTGATATTCCGTCTGACAGTCGCGTTACAGAAAAATCAAAGCATCAAACAGGTCGGTTGAATTTTGATATGATCAATGAAGGGAAATTAGGTGATGAAAAAATCGAATTCTGTAAGTCAATAAAGAACCTTGGTGTTATTTTTGACGAAAACTTTACTTTTCAAGAACATGACAAGTGTAAATTGCAAAAAGTGTATGGCGTGTTGAATCGCATTCGTCACACTAAGCGATTTATACCCAATTACGTCAAACGTGATATGGCTGTAGCTCTGATAGATCCCATAATGGATTATGGAAATGTGGTAACATACGGCTGGGGCGCCCACAGCACCCAAAACCAGGTGCACCGTGATCTTGTTGCTGATATTCAAGCAGTTGTCAAATTGTTCGCCTGAGTATCTGAATCGCATGTTTGTTCGTAATGGTGAATCGTCGCGTTATCCAGATAATCTTCGCATGAATTTCAATCCGCGTACTGCATTTGATACTCGCGCATTTAGTTTCTCTGCAATCAATTTTCGGAATAGAATATCGGTCGAAATTAGAAATTCTAAATCTCTAGTCGCGTTTAAAAATAACCTAAAGCATCTGTTACGTTCCACGCAGTAAATTTTTAGATATTTTTCAAATAGTAAAATACTCGGACCATTGTTATGAAATTTCTTATCCAATTTAGATTAAGTTTGACTTTTCATTTGATTTTTCTCATTGATGTATAACGTACTTTAATTGCAAAAACTCATCATCATTGTATTTCCCCTGGTTTTCCAGAATCAGGCCGGTTTTACCATGGTTTTCCGGACCCAATTCTGGTATGAAAGCCTCACTTTTATATCATCCCTTCCCTGACTGTATTCTCTTTGCAAAAGACGCACCATGGGCGGAATTTATGCCGTATTAGGTCTCTGACCAGCATATTCTCAGCTTGCTGGGAACACATATTGGCATAAATGTAGGCTCCGTAATAAATAAATAAATAAATAAATAGATACGCATGCTGGGATCAATACCAATCTCGTATACGTACACACCATTGCGATACCGTTCCTGCACGATTTCATCGTCTTTCAAACGTCCCAGGTGACTTTTTGGCATTTCGTACATAATGGATACCGCTTGACCATTGGAGACAGTGTAGGACCGGAAACGTTTGTTCGATTTCATTAAACGATGGATCTTTGACATATCGAAAATCTCATCCCAACACTGCACCATTTGGTGTCAGAAAATGCATTTTGAAATGCGAAGAAAAACTTTTTGCTGATCTTTTATTAAAAATGAATACAGAAACAGAAACCACAGTGACTAAATCCATTTTTCGAGCAATGGACACAGTAGCAGCGTTCAAATTGTGAACTGTCATTGTTCCTTGCCAAAACAACTGTGGTCAACTGAATCTCATCTGTGTGTAGGTGTGTCGCATGGATTTATTTTCTCGTGAAATTGTTTCTTGTATGTGTTTGCAACGAACCGGCGGCATTGTGTTCGTTCTAAAAATAGAATGAACTCATGCAGTAGAGATTTACTGGAACGTAGAAATAAACAAATAAAATGTTCGCTCCGTTGAATAATTGTTTATTTCATGAATTGAAGTGATGTTAGCGTATATTTGAAATGATTGGACATAATCTGAGTCAGAGTTGTAAAAGTGCAATTACAAAATTTGTAAGGTTTCGTGGAAGCCGTTGATAAAACGACTAAAAAAACATACAAAAAATATACGGATTTTGATGAAAATTGTCACAGACATATTTTAGGAGATAAATTTTAATATCCACCAAGTTTCAAGTCGATGCGACCTTCCAGAGCTGAGGAATTGCCGATGGAAAAAATGTATTGGGTCTGGGAATTAGTTTTGTCGATTTTTTTAAATTTTCAAACATTTATTTGAATACCAAAATGAAATTACATTTCAATCAAAATATTGTCCATCGGAAGCGATGACCTTCTGCCACAATGTGGGCAATTGACGGATGCCTGCCTTAAAAAATTCCTCATCTTTTGAGGCTATAAATGCATCGAGCCAATTTTGGATATCTTCAACTGAAGAGAACCGCTCTCCGTCCATATGGTTTTGCATCGATCGAAACAAATGGTAGTCGGAAGGAGCCAGGTCTGGGCTATACGGGGCGTGAGCCAAAACTTCCCATCCGCTACTTTCCAAGTAGTTTTTGACCGATTTCTCAATGTGTGGCCGAGCATTGTCATGTAGGAAAATCAATGTCTCTTTTCTGGTCTCCCATTTCGTGCGTTTTTCTTTGATTGCTTGTTTCAAACGTATCAATTGTTGTCGGTAGAAAGGCCCATCGATGGTTTGACCACTTCTCAGCAGCTCATAATACACCACTCCCTCCTCATCCCACCAAATAGACAGCATTACCTTGTCGCCGTGAATTTCTTGTTTTGGCTGTGATGTTGCTGGTTGGCCGGGCTTAACATACGATGCTTTGCGCTTGGGGTTATCGTAATGAATCCATTTTTCGTTACAGAAAACCATTCGATACAGAAAACCTCTTTTTTTGTGCCTTGCGAGCAGCATTTCGCAAGTCACTAAACGCCTTTCAGCTTGCGCTGGCGTCAATTAATGTGGTACCCAATTTGACAACTTGCGAATGAAACCAAGGGCCCTTAAACGATATCCAACAGTGCTTCGGTCAACATTCAATGCTCTGGCAAGCTCATCTTGAGTTTGACTCGAATCTTCATCGAGCAATGCCTCCAATTCCGCATCTTCAAACTTTTTTGGCTGGCCGGGACGTTCCTTGTCTTCCGTGCTAAAATCACCACTTTTGAACCGTGAAAACCACCGTTCACATGTACGTTCCGATGGAGCATGCTCACCATAGGCTTCCACCAACATTCGATGCGCTTCAGCCGCAGTTTTCTTCAAATGAAAGCAAAAAATTAATGCTTGCGGGAAATGTTGCTTTTTCGGTACAAAATTTGACATATTTAAGGCGCAAAAAAAAATGTTTATCCAAACTTCGATGAAATGATAGATGATGATTTTTGTAGTTTGACACTAGACCACTCATGTGAAAAAGAAAAAAGTATTGCCCGATACAACCATGCAAAGTTACGCCATCTTTTGAAAAATCGACACGATTAATTCCCAGACCCAATAATTAAAAAAAAGTAATGATTACACGCAATGATTGCTTTTTTTTAATTACATTTTTTCCATCGGCAATTCCTCAGCTCTGGAAGGTCGCATCGACTTGAAACTTGGTGGATATTAAAATTTATCTCCTAAAATATGTCTGTGTCAATTTTCATCAAAATCCGTATATTTTTTGTATGTTTTTTTAGTCGTTTTATCAACGGCTTCCACGAAACCTTACAAATGCGCATGTAATTAAAATGGCAAAATTTACAACACTGATCTGAGTTAATTGATCTGAAACTAACATCGACAAAATGGACATAAAAGTGTTTGTTAGATACACATATTTTTTGCTTCGGAAAGTGCGAATAGCAATCGATGCGTTGTGTTAATGCCATCAACGTACGCAGAATTTGGTGCCCTTTACATTGAAAATATGTACTTTTCATTTGAAAGTACACCTCCTTCACACTACATCACAGCTATAATAAGTCAAAATGAATTTTCAAGTCGAAAGAAACTAACTTTCCCTTTTCGCAAACAGAATTATCGGAAAATTGAATCTACCCAATCTCACCCATAGAACAATAAAATGCCCATAAATTCACTAACAGAGTATTTCCTTCTACTCCACAGATAATACTGGTCAACTAAAACATATTGAAGTGAAAATGGATAGATCTGCCAACTCAAACGTTGGACCAAAAGTTTCCCAAATTGCCAACCTTTTCCAGCGACGACCTGCTGAAGTGGAGATAGAACCAGTGAAGGATGGTCAATGTCCAATTGGTTCGAATGCACCAGTCGTTCGATCAGAATCGCATGCCGTGCGATTCAATAATGCCCGAGCTCTGTTTGAAAAATTGGGAGTTGAAAATCGCGCACCTCGACCGGCTGCACTCAGTTTGAAGAATTCGAATAGTCGTGATAGTTTGAGCGGTGATAGTCCCGAAAGAGGAGATGCCCGTACTCCATCACCGAAACGAACAACGAACTTTACGCTTGGCAATGGAGTGGTCGCCAAACGGGATCCATCTAAAATACATAACACGTCTCGTGTCAAACCGGAGAAACCTGAAAAGCCCGAAAAACCAGAACGCAAATTTAACTCTAAGGAGTTGATAGAAAAACAGAAAAATTGGACGTCGCATTTTACAAAAACACGGGCTTCTAGATTCAATAGCGATCCAAATCGTTGTGATATCATTCGTGCGGTGCCTGGCAATGTACTTTACCCAGGTAATGATAACCAACAAGCTTCATTGGTTTCATCGGTTTCTGCCACATCCGCTACAATTTCTACAGTTACACCATCTGCAACGCCTCCAAACTGGTATATTGATAATTTTATATTCTCTTTCATTTAAATAGTTTTTGCTAATAATAATCTATTTTCTGAACAATAGCAAGGTAACCGGAAGTCCAAATGTATCACAAACACAACTCCCTACAAAGGAGTTACAACGTAATCGATCTCATTCGAGATCATTTGATTCTTCCAAGTCATCTGAATCGTCACCACCCCCAAGTCCACCGGTTCGCCAAATATCTTCCTCCAATCCACCGGACGTCAAACCGCGCCATTCCTCACGATCTTCATTCAGTAATACGAGTCCAGTAAAACAGCCAACATCAATCCCAAATAAATCGCCCAATGTGGAACCACCCGAACGACGTAAACGTTCAATTGACTTAATAGATGATTCGACAAATTCTTCAACTGTTGAATATGCTGAAGTGAAAAAATATTCCAACGATTTGCCATCGTCATTGGGTTCACAACCAACAAGTTCATCACCAAGTTCTGGTCTAAGTATTTCATCGGGACCATCCAGTCCTAATCATACGGAAGATGAGAAACAAGAAAACGAATCAAACGAAAAAACTGATCTTTTCGACGAAATCATCACTGAATGTAAGTGAAGCTACATATGTATACAAATTAACTATATTCTACAATTATACTATGATTTCACGAAAGTGGAATGCAATTCACGATCAAAGAGTCAAACCAACTGTATTTTATTCAGATGAATTCGAAGAAACAATCAATGCTAGCACTCAAACCATTTTTATGGCCCTATTCTCAAAACGAATTCATATTCAAGCAAAAAGGGCGAACAAGTTTTAAAATCAAAATATATTTCAACAAAATAATTCCAAGAAGGAAAAAAAACGAATTACGTAATCCACACTTTTCTGCACGCATTGCAAATAAAACTTTTGTGTGTTCGACTCTAGGAGGTGGATTGATAGAATTGATTTTCAGGACCTTTTCAGGTCCATCCATGTCCTCTTGTTCTTCGTAACAGATCATAAAGGCAAAGAAGTACTCTTTGATTATTTGCACATTATTTACGCATGAGTCTCTACCAGTGTACAGAAGACGCACTCGCGAACATGTATTTGCCGACAGCGAATAATGTCGGCATTGCTGTTTTTTAGACGCATGCATAATTTAGACGTGTTTGTGTGCACGGAATCGCCAAAATGTATCAATATTGTCTACAACATCTATACCAATGAAGAAATGTTACTAAACCAGTGTCGGTTCTGTTGAGGAACAGAAGCAATACGGGTAATCAAGTGTAATTCGTTAGTTTTATGCTAATCTTAATGATTTTTTACAATCATTACTGGCTTGTTTTTTGTTAATTTAAAGCTGTAAATCGAAGGCAAGAATCAAAACGAAAAACGCGCACTTGAAAGTATATAATTTCAGATTACATTTATGTGCTGAATCCTTTTGAAATTTTTTTTTATCGAGAATCAAGGTAGTGTTACAACCACTAGATTCTTTTGAATTGTTTAATGCTTCTCCCAAATATGAAATTTTGGAAAAATGACAGTTCGACTTGGAAGTTTTGCAGAAAATTAGTTAATTTGAACGGATAATTTCAGAAGAAGTGGGAGAGGGAGGAAGACATAGAGAGACGGGGGAGACTTCAGGTTCACGAAAAATAGATCGAGACTCTCTTTTCAGCGTAAACAGAATCGTATAGTGTATATGTATAACATCTTAAGTCATAAGCGAATCTCTCGGTTGCATCAGTTTCACTATTAATTGCTTTGCCTACGTTCATTACTTTTTCTATGAATGTAAATTTACATCATGATGAACAGTCTGTAAATGTCGCTGTCAATGTAAGTGTTATGCCCAGTATATAGTGCACCCATTTCAATGGTACATTGTATTTTAAATATTCAACATTCTAAGGCGTTGAAGATATTTAGCAAATTCTTCCAGGCAAAAAATTAAAAATGAAAACTGCATACAAGATAAAATGCAAACAATTAGTTGACCAGGGCACAACGGTACGAGTGAATGAGCACTGCACACACAACGTCCCTTTGTTCTTTTTTTTTCTTTTCTCACACATTTTGCTCAATTTATGTACTGAAAATTATTCAGCATATAGCGCGAATAAACTTCAACCATTTCAAAGTGTGTTCAGAAGTTCTCTTGAGTATCATAAAAATGTACATATTCACATGTGGACGAACCATTTGCAATACGTACATCGTACGTTACATATATATATATATATATTATGTTATACATATTCTACAGTCGTCATCAAGAAGTTAACATAGATGAGACAAAACAAAATCACAATAATATTTATACCCGACTCAAATAATCGTGAAGTTGTCCCGTAAATCTGGTAAAATATGAAATTCATGGTTTTCTGGTAAAATGTACCAGAACCATTGTATTGGTTACACGATTTCTGTCGAATTGACACATTTAAGGCAAAGGTGTCGAACGGACACAAGCTTGTCCGTCCGTTCGGCCATCCTTTAAAAAATTTAGGACGGACAATATTTTTTGTTCGTCCGTTTGGGATTTGGTTCGTTCAAAAAAAGCCCGCAAATCAAATTTTTGGAACATCTAATAAGCTTATATGATTTATTTTTTACGAAGTATCCGTTTCTATTTTATTGTATTCATAAAAAATATCATAAAAGAGTCAAACGGACATATACTTTGTCCGTCCGTTTGACACCTTTATTTTAAGGGAAAATCGTGAATTTCATAATTCACCAGATTTTATTTATTTCAGTGTAGACAACGTGATTTGGTTGCATACTCATGACAGATTTGATATTTCTCAAATAATGCATAAATCTATATTCCAAAAAGATATGGTTAGGAAACTGAAAGTGTATGCCCAACATTTAGAACCAATTTCTGTCATTTTATTTAGTCAATTTGTGGGCGTAATACGCAACCTATGCAAAACACTAACAAAACAAAGTAAAACACGAATTTGCGATGGGCTCATTCAGTGAAGTTTATTTCAATTCGTTTACATCGTTAGACGCACTCATGAACGCGACTGAATGAACTCATCAACAATGTTCTGTAATAAAAAAAACAATTTTGCACATTCGCGACATTTTTATTTTTTTGTTGTCTACTTTATTAACAAATATAAAAAAGATGCGATAGTTTGCAGTAAACATTGAACGATCTGAGAAAAAAAAGAACAGTACAACCAAAAATTAGAAAATATGTTTGTCAAACAGTTGGTTGCTAGTTCTAGCTTTTCCACAATCCCATTTTGTGAGCAAAATAATATAATTGTATCACCTTAGAAACGGCGTATCCCTATTTCCATCTGTTTTGACACAAACATCAAGAATTTCAGATTTTGTAACGGAAATGCATTACTCTCAGCCAGAGAGTGTTATTTTGCCGCTGAGCAAGCTTGAGCTGAGCTGAATTTGCTGACTCAGACGCCTGGAGTGTTATTTTAACGCATTTACGCTGCAAAATTTTCATTGTTTGCAAATATCACCATCTTTAATACTATGTGAAATGGTTAGTAAAATTAAGACACATCGTAGATCGTTGCAAGCAATGACAATTACAAAATTCCAGTTTTTATTACGTAAAAATTTGGTGTCAAACTGATATAATATCAGTGATATTTTCTAGTAAAAAACGGTGCAAATGATTCATTTGAAATGAAACTGATGACTCAGTGAATATACAAATGGCATGAGGGGTACCCAAGAAAGGGACAACATATATTTGCAACATAGGCAGAAGAGTTCGTCTTACGAGTGTGAGACTATTTACTTAACATCAGGAAAGTGAGCATTTCAGTGCCGTATTTCGAATTCGGGGCCCTAAGGCGATATTTGTCCCGGCGATTTGATTTTTAGCACTACATAAAATGTAGAGCTACTAACCTGATTGTTTGGTAAACAAAATCCCAATTTTCAGGACTACAGTGACCTTCTATTGTACTCAAATGTTGTAATTTATTTGGTTTTTGAAAGTTCACATTCAGATATTCAGAAAAATATATTGGTTATTGTGCGCGTATAGTACCTGTCGTTCGCTGTTGTCGTACGCAAGTGTAATGTTTGAGGTCGATTAAGGCGCGACTTCAAACCCGCACACACTGGTATTAGGCATTCACAATGAGCAAAAAAAAATACAACAACACATTCTCTCTTTGCCGGTCATTTATTTTTGTATTTGACTTGTGCGCATATTTCGTTCACATTTTCAGTCTAGTAGATCGCATGTGTTTGTAGAATCTTAAGCAATTTCCTCTCTATGTGATCAATCGTGCGCATATTTACACACTCATCGCAGAAAAGTCCCGTTTCATTTTAAAGCAAGTTGTTTTTGTTCTCCTTTGTTCTATGTGTTCTCTCACTTCAACGGATACGTTTCGAAAAACGATATACATTTTCGTACACAGTTGATCTTTTTCGATTCTAAAGTGACTTTTGCAAATAAATTGAATAAAAACAATAATATTTCAATGCGAAAACTATCAATATTCAGATAAAATAAAGTGAAATTCTATATAAATTCACCAATGTGTTAATGGATACATTCACATTCCGATTGCGGCATTTATTGCAGCTCTAATAATCTAATCCCATACAAATTAGCATGTATATTATACAAGGAATCGAATTCACGTGGTTTGTCAATTTTTGAAACATAAATTCATCATCAAGAGTGAATTACTGGTGGTGTTATGATTTTTTTTTATACAGTATTAAATTTAGAATACAATCATTGTTCGCTAAAGTGAATCAAATTTCAAACTCTTCAGTTGCGTATTTTAGCTTTGAAATATAATCACGAAAACCAATTAAAACCTCACAACAACACAATATTTGGGTGTCAAGTATTTTCGGTATTTCGACTCATTTGAACAATTTTTGAAAATTGTTCTTAATTTTATTTTAATTCATTAAAATTTTGAATGAGAGAACGCCACTTAGTTAAATTGTTTTTCTGGCTTATGCCTAATAATCGTAATCATACGACATGAAAATGTCACACAACATCGTCTACCGACCGCAATTTAATTGTTACCTCACACGACCAAGGACATTGCACGTCGATTATTTGTAGTCTGTTTCCCTCCCTGCCGTGCCGCAATGTGCTCCAACGAGAATGTGAAAATCAATTAGACTGTTTTATTAGAAAACATAGGAACACATGAAAATTTTGCGTACACAATATTGGTTTCAGCCAATGCTACTATTTGAATAAAAAGCACAACTCAATGAATTTGGTCAATGACTTTAAATGACAACATTCACCAAAGAAGTATCTATAGCTAATGAGATATAAACAAAATGTGTCTCAGCATTAAGCGATTTTGCCAATGTCGTGGTAAGCTACAATAAGAGAAGTATTAGTTTTTAAGTTTTCGGTGTTGATAGTGTAAGAAAACTCTTCATGTTGCGACCGCACTTGGGCAATAACGATTTTTGGACCATGATATTTTAATGGTTTACATAAGCAAGATGAAACATAAAATTCGTTATTTTTTCTGATTATACTGTAAAAGAAAGAGGATTTTATATTATTATTTTGGGATTTTCCAGTTGAAAAATCCCAATGGATTAAATAAAAATCCCATTGAAATTCCTGATTAGTTTTCGAAATTTGAACGTTTACAACCTCACGACAGTTTATATATACGGCAAAGATAATGCGAATTGTCAAGCTATTGTTGTTCACTTCAATCTTATGAATTTCATAGACGATTTAATAAGACTACTTCCTTGCATCAGCACTTCTCCTCTCTGATTTGTTCGACAAGGTCATTAGTTCTATTTCTTTACACTATCCTATGGTTATATTTGTTGCATTTTTCAATTCTAGATCGTCAGTCAAAATTAAATTCGGAAAACGAACCAACTGAGGATATTTTCTCTTCAAAACGAACGTGAGTGTTTATTCAATGTAGTTTTTTTCCTAACCATTCATGAATAATTGAATTATTTTTTATTTTAACTAGTATTTGTGTCCAACCGCTCGATGCGGTACAAAATACTACACATTCGACAAGTATTGTCAGTACAGATGAGGGTGGTTTCAATGAGCCATCACCTGAAATAAAAGCCAAATTGAAACCAGCTTATACGTATGAAACAGCAACGACGGCTGCGCAAAATATAACAGAGGGATTCGATACCAAAGATACTACAGACGATGCCAACCAGCACTCATTGCACTATGTGGACTTTGGGTATCGGTTGAATCCCGATGGTAGTGAAAGTAAGCAATGTTTTAGTGACGAATACTATGATATTGCACAAAACATCAATGAAAAAGGCAGTGGATGCATCGAACGTCAACGTTGTGACAAACGTACGGTTCACTATCCGGTCGCCGATTCAGTTGTTTATGCCGCTATAAAATCGGAACCATCATCATCTATATCGCCGCCTTCAGAGCCCAAATTCAATTGTGGTATGATCTTATAGAAATTCTGAAACATTTGAAAAGCAAATTTCTCTAGAGAAGTGTGTTAGAATTGAAAATATCATTTAAAAACTGCAAATCATTGGGAATATTCATTTTAAATTAGCATTGATTCCATTTTTTCTGAATTTTAGATAAACCAAACAATCGAATTGACGACAGTTATCCAAATGATGATAATGTTTCTGATATAGATGAGAAATTTGAACAAATTTATAGCTCAGCTACAAAAGATCTCGATATAAATAGTGGTGATGTACGATTTCCAGACGGTGATTCTTCGTTCAACTTGAAAAATGTAGAATTTGCTGATGCCAGCGATAAGGAAGATTTACCAGATACTATGACTGCTTATGAGGCTGACCGACTGTTGAGCTCTAGGTTAGTTGATTGTTTGTTATGACTCTAGAAATTCTTATCATTAGACACCTTTCATTAATATAAGTGTTACATATTTGTAGCATGTAGTATTGATAGATTGATAAATGGGTTTGTTTCACGTGTATGTAGATTAGTGAATCATAATTTTTCATTTATTTATTTTTTTAAACGAGCAATACCAAAAATTGTCATATATTCGTATACTCTTTGCGCAAATGTAAAAACCGGGGCTAACCAAAATATTTCTGATAACCTTATTGATGAAAAATAGACCCAATGGAATCAGCCGAACTTATTTCATGAAATAATGACATGTTTCAGTAAATTTTCAGAAGTGAATGATCACGACAGTCTTCTTCATTCACAGTAAAAAAAAGTCTGCATCTAGGCGTTTTTTCAGCTAAAGGCGCATTCAGTCGATATTTCTGCTAGTAATTTTATCTGGATGCGAAATTTCGCTTATAATCTAAGTGGAGCTTCACTGTATCACGCCGTCACACGATTGTCCGTACGCGTATATGTTTTGCTTATTTATACAGTATAAAACATCTGAGTAAACATATTTCTTTGTCCAATTGTCCAAACCAGTGCTTGCAAGGAGTAACGATCAAAATATGGTTTTTTATGCTTGAGTCTATCAAACGGGTCCATTCTTCATAATCAGTGCCAACCAGATACAAAAAAATCTCTTTTTTTTCAAAGAAGATCTTAGATACATTGAGGTGAAATCACCTAGCGTAGAAACTAGCGCCACTAAGTTACATTTGATTTAAATATAGTGGCAAGAGATGTAAACACTTTAGGGTCTCCTTAAAAAACTTTATAACTTAATATCTTTTATGCAATTTGTCTTCTGACCAATAACAAATTTTCCTCATTCAAACAGACTTTATGAAAAATTACCAGAATATGTGAAAAATGTGCAAAATATTATAAAAAGAGACCAATCGTCCGAATATTTATTTATCCCGAAAAACGCCGAAAATATTTATTCGAAGGTCCTGCATCTAAGCGTCTGACAGCTCACTTCTAGCGCTACGAGACAAGTGTCAAAAGTTGTGACACAGATCGTTCAATGTATTATTGAATCTTTTTTATATTTGTTAATAAAGTAGACAAAAAAAATAAAAATGTCACGAATGTGCAAAATTGATTTTTGTGAGAGCGTAGCACGCGATAAACATTATTTTTATAATTAAAAAATGTTTCTTTCATTACGGAACATTGTTGATGCGTTCAATTTGTCGCGTTCATGAGTGCGTCTAACGACGTAAAGAATTGAAATGAACTTCACTGAATGCGCTCATCGCAAATTCGTGTTTTACTTTGTTTTGTTAGTGTGGTGCAGGGGTTGTGTATTTATTATCGTAAACCATCCAAATTGTAACATAGTTCTAATTGTAACATAGTCTTAAAATAAACCACTTTTCTGAAAAATACAAATAATACATACATTCATATCGGAAGTTTTTTTCGTGATCTTCTAAAATATGATATAAAAAACAACAGTTAACCTTCAAAGTTTTGCAGAAAATTAGTCTATTTGTTCAATTGTTACAATTTGGATGGTTTACGATATATAAATATTCTGGTTAGCCCTGGTAAAAACATACTATATCTCATTGAGTGGGTTGATTTTAAAGAAGACGTCTTTGTTTTGAATCTTCCCAAAAAGATAAATTAAATAATTAAATCCGTAATAGACTGTTTGCTAAAAATGGCATTTTTATTTAAAATTCGTGTATAAATTAGCTACTCTCAAAAAGCAAATGCGAATTTGGTTCTAGCTTGAAATCGCTCATACATTCGGTCCAGTAAATCAAGTTTAGAATTCAAAATCGAGATTGTGGGAGTTGATCAACCACTATTTACTTGTTATTTATAGTTACTAATCGTAAGTGCCATTTTTGTTCAAAACTTTTGTTGACATTGGATCATATATATATATACACATCATATATAACTATGACAATTGATTATACCACATTACCTGCATGGATTTTACCTGTAGAACAAATTAAATGACCTCTTTGCAAGTTTTTATTATTTCAAATGATAGATGTGTGAAAATGTTGATTTATTATTATTTTCTTCTTGTAGTTTTGATATAATGTAATGCCTTTTTTCTTTTCATATAAATGTGCCTTTTGTATACAATGTACGCTATTTAACGCTCATAACTTGTGCTACTACTGCTGCGCATGAACCCAACACTGTTATGCAATCTTGTGCATATAACGTTTTGTTATGTTTGTTTTACACATCGAATACGATTTTGTTCGCTCGTACTGTTATTTTGAACAATCAATGTATATTGGCTGTGTTATACACACACTGACTTTCATACAGAATTTTGGAAAACAAAATTGGGTAAGTATGACTTCAGTGACTTCAATTTAATTCAAATAATTCGCAAGATTTTCGTAGTCGTAGAATGTAATATTATTATGAGTCATTGCAATTCAAGCACTTTTAATTAAATTTGGATTTTAGTGCAAAAATGTTTTAAACATCAAAGTATTGGGAATATTACTTGAAATAGTAAACAGCAACAGCAAAATGAACTAAAATCAATCTAATTATATTCGCAGACAACAGTCAATATTATCAGATGAAGAGGCTCGGGAAGTAGAAGAATTACTTCAACGCAAAAGAGAGAATTCAATATCTAGTCAAAATAGCGATGCAAAACTTCCATCGAAAGAAGGAGTGGATCTGCAACAACAGTCACAGTCACAGTCACAATCACAATCACTTTCGAATGATGAAATTGGGTCACTATCTGAATCAACAAAAACAGTACCACCACCCTTACCATCTCATCCACCGCGCATAAAAAGTGTACGCTCAACGAAAGTTGAATCAGCGATTATAACAAACGAGCAAGCTTGTAACAATTCCGAATTGAATCAAACGGATTCAATCCAAATTTCTACGTTGTCATTAAACGATCCAGATCAATTTTTCATACCTGAATATCCACCAATTTCACCGAAAGAGGTGTACAGTGATTCAGGCGTACATTATTTTGAAGATGGTAATTTTTGGATGGAGATCCCTGGCTTGTTGGATTGTGATGATGAAGACGATGATGACCTAGACTATCCTGTGTTCGTTAAGAAAAACACCAAAATCAAATTCAGCTGTGGACCGATAAAAGTATTTTCAACATACTCGGTCAATGACTATGATCGTCGAAATGAGGACGTTGACCCAGTTGCTGCCTCAGCTGAGTATGAGCTGGAAAAACGTGTCGAAAAAATGCACGTATTCAAGGGTATGTACTATATATAAAAAAACTAAAACTAGCTATAAACTTGTTGATCATTTTTCTCCGTTTTATTTTCAATAAACATCAAAAAATATTCACATTATTCCAAAAAATATAAAAAAAAATATTTTAAGTGGATGGATTCATTTATCATTTACTTATATTTGATTCATTTAATCACGATAATATTGATTTAATTTCTTTCACAAAAACGTTTCATTTTAACTGTTTTCCCAGTGGAATTAATGAAGGGTCTTGAAGGACTTGGCCTAAGTATAATCGGTATTAATTTGTATTTCGAGAAAAAAAAATTAAACAACCCCAGTTTAATATGTATACTGACACATTTACAGGGATGGGAGTTGGGGCCGATGCTGGTCTCGAAAAGCTTGGCATCTTTGTCAAAACCATCACTGATAATGGAGCAGCAGCACGTGATGGACGTATTCAAGTCAACGATCAGGTTCGTTCTACAACAAGAGCAAACGCTATCATCTATGCTTCATGCAATCTGGGTGTCTTCGACTTGTTTGTAGTTCTTTTTATTTTCTACAAAAATGCCGAAGACACTTAATCGTTATCTGTTTTCAGTAGCGAGAAAAATGCAAAAAACGTCTTTTCCGCTCAATGCTGAGTTGTATAACTTTTACTCGCAACTTTATTTGTCTCTTTGTTGCTATAAGTTTTTTTTTTCCGTCTCAGATATAGACAAATAGCTCATAAGTTGTCCTTTTATTTTATGGGTGTCATATCTTGTATAAAGCTTATGATGATAGCGTCTTATTCTACATCTATCCAATTGCAACATTCAATATTACTCAAGTGAAAGAATTTTGTGAAAATACTGCATATCTGCTACTGGGGCGCTCTCAGGCAGCCGATTTTGGTCGCCGATACAAGAGAACAATACATTAGTCGAACCACTTGATGGATTTTGGGATAATATAAATTTTTAGAAAGATGAAGATTACATCTTTCAAAAAATATAAAATTTTCTACAATCCGTTCAGTGGCTCACAAGTAAACCGTCCCAACTGTAACACGTCGATTTCAAATTTGTATATCAAGATCGATTGGGAATGGAAAAAAATGATTTTGATAAAAGGGCAGCGGTCCCTTTTAGGGCATAATGGGGATATCTCTTTACGAAGGTTCATCTGATGGTTTTTATGTACAAACGCACTTTTCTCATACAAAAAATGGTTTGGGGACAAAAATATATTCAAATGAAATATTCAGGATACTCCAGAGAATAGAATGAAATCTTGGGTGGAGCTGCCCTCAACTCTTGGAGGCGTTCCGGCCTTGATTTGGGGCATAAGGGTTTTTTCAAAGGGAAGTGTTCTGAACCTAAAGGTAATTTTTCACAAGGAATCCAAAAATGTAATTGGTTTTGGGGTCAAGGGGGGCTTTGACCCTATTTACAGAAAAGAAGTAGTTTTTTCAATAAATTTGTATGGGTGCATCCAGAGATGGGGGCTCGGAGGTGGTGGCCAAGGGTGAAAGTATATAGTACAAGAAAAGTGGAAGCTATATAGCTATATATAGTTGGTCATACATTTGTATGCAAAATTTCAACTCTAAAGAGTGAAAAATTGACTCTGTAATATTTGATTCCAGATGGGGGCGATTTCTGCCAGTTCAATTTATGGGTTGGGCCGTTGGGAAAATACATATTCTCACTATTTTGGGTATGAAGAATCCGAATTTTTGGGTTTCAGGTAAAATAAATGTAACCCCTGGGCAAGGGACCCCTAACCCACCCAGCAAGGTTGAAAAAATGGAAGGGCGGCTACCATAAAAAATTCTCCTCATCATTCTGAACAACTTTGCCATACATCATTTTTTGATCAGATAGATTTTGGAAAAGGGGTGGGTCTATCCCCACTATGTCCCAGAAAAGACCGCTGCCCTTTTACCAATTTTTTTTCATCCCCCATCGATCTGTATGTTCAATTTTAAAATCGATATGTTACAGTTAGGACGGTTTACTTGTCAGAAGTTATACCCAAAATTCCAAATTTCCCCCTACTTTAAACCAAAAATTCGAAAAAAAAAATCTTTGCGAAGAAAATTTTTTGTAATTAAAAAAGTCATTTCGTAATTTCACACTTCAAATAATTTTCTTTGCTGTTGAGAAAAAAACTCCATCATTTTGTCACAAAACTCTATCATAAATTACAGATTATCGAAGTTGATGGCAAAAGTTTGGTTGGTGTTACACAAGCATACGCGGCATCAGTTTTGCGAAATACATCTGGTCTAGTCAAATTTCAAATTGGTCGTGAGCGAGATCCAGAATCCTCAGAGGTGGCACAATTAATACGACAAAGTTTACAAGCTGACAAGGAGAAAGAAGAACGAATTAAAAGGTACGCTATGGCATTACTTTTTGAGTCGAAAAAAATCGAAATAAAACGTTTTCATATCTTTTCAGGCAACAAGAGGAGTATTTGAGACGAACAATCGACTATTCCGAGGATTCGACACAACCAGCTTCGGCAAATTCAAGCGTTTGCGAAGGACCTACAAGCCCACTTATCATTGATAATACACTCAATTCGATGGAAGCTGAAGCAAAACACTCACAAGAAGTAGAGTCCTTGAAACGTCTTCTACAAGAGGTAATTATAATTTGACCTCTATTGAATAAATGATTCCATTTTCTTATAAATTTTTGACTATTTGACTAACCATGCAGCACAAAGCGGTAAATACGAAATTTTTGCTTATTTTGTTTCAAACTCTCTTGAAAGAGACTCATTTTTGTAAAGTGTATCCTGCTTTTTGAGCCAAAAACATATATTTATATAAATTTTCTTATACTTTCTACAATATTTTTTAGGCATTGCATATGTTGATTTTTCGTTTGCATTATTTGAAATTGGGTTGAATTTCATTTTTTTTATCATTATTATTTTGATCTTGATTTTTAGAGCCAAAAGAAATTCACTCAATGTGAAGAAGAAAAAAATATTTTACTGGCTAAGGTAATGTGCTTTGATTTTTCATAATTTAAACAACTATTTTTACTAACTGTTCGTAAATATTAACGCTCCGAACATCCAACAGTATGGTATTCTTTTAATATTTGGCTTGAATGCAATTTTAGCTCGTCAAGTTAGAAGCAACTGGTAATGAGTCAGATTTGATCGCTGAACGTTTAAGACAGACTGAGAAAGATTTGTCGCAAGCACGGCGGGAATCTTTAAACTTTCAACAACTGTTACAACAGTCTCAATCGCAATTTACCACACTTGATCGGAAGTATAGCAAAGCAAAACGTCTTGTTCGCGAATACCAACAACGGGAAGTCGATATGGTATGTTTCATGCTAATATTTAAAAGAGAAAGTATTTCATACCAATAAGTTGGTTTTTTCTTTCGAAGACTTATCCCAACAATTTTAACCACCTTCGGGTTCAGTACATACACCTACGTCATGAAATTAATAAACTGTCATTACAGCAACAATGCTCTTCTATTAATTATTAAATAAATAAATGATTTATTCACAGATCCAACAAGAAGAGTTCTATTTGCAATTGTTGCAAGAAAAAGACTGCGAATACAACGCACTAGTGAAGAAATTGAAAGACCGAGTGATTCACCTGGAGCAAGAGTTACAAGAAACGCAACGGAAAGCCGGATTACCCATTTACTTACCGTATGATGGCGCAAGCCTTCGTCTTACACCACAAATGACTCGAAAACAACCACCAAAACGATTTCAAAAAATTCCACTGGAAACTGGTCTATCCGACACCGAAATATCGGATTTTTCACCGGATGGTGAGGATGATGATAAAACGGCAACTGTTGAACGAAAAGTTCCACTTAAAGATGAATTAGATGCAGCGGTGCCACAACACGAACTACTCGATACTGCTGTAAATAAATCGAAAAGTGACTTAGTATCACGTGGCTTAGCAAAACGATTGCCATCGGGTAAAAAAAGCTTAAGCAGTTCTGATTGTGCATTAAATGAAAGCGAAGAAGAGGTCATCGAGCCCATGCCCGTGTCCATTTCTAATGCCAAACATAATGGCCATAGTTTTGTGGGTTTAAAAGGTGCAATTTCACTCAGTTGATTTTCCATTTCAACAATAATATTTATTAAAAATAACTTCTTTATCTATTAGCGAACGACAATAACAACAACAATGGAAACAAGAAACGGTTTGAAAGTGCACCACTATACGCACAGGTACACAAAGAGCACACAAGATCGAATAACGATAACCAAAACCAAAACTCCAACAATCACTTCGTTCCACACTCAACAATACCAAATATTTACAAGAATGCGAGTGATAGCGCACCAATAAGCTCACCATCTTATAACAATGAATTGAGTAGCTCTTATGACAGTATTTTGAGTTCAAACGACAAACTATCGGATGTTGGCCAAAATACAGACAATTGGATGTATCCTAGCAGACGACGCGGTACGAAAACACCACCATCATCGTTTAGTGATCAGCTTGCATCAGTGTTGTCTGAACGCGAAAGGTGAGTACTCTGTAAAATATAATGGAATTCATTCTAATTATTTCTAAACAACAAACGAATATATACGAATATGTATTTTACGTATGATGAATCAAATGAATTTGAGGTTACGTTCTAACACATACAATTATTGAAAATATTCTAGTCGCCGCCTCGGGGATGGATCGTCTCGAGATTCAAGCGACGATTTTTCTGAATTGAATCGTGCGCAAAGCCAAGCCATTTCAATGTCACAAACTCTTTTAGTGGAAATCAGACAAGCAGGTGAAATAATAATTGATTATATATGAAATTTATAAAATTGCCTATAAATAGAAATTAAATAATGATTTAATTTTTTTTCCATTTTTCAGTTAACGAGGCTCAACCAAAAGGTGAATATTTAAATCTTAATTTTTTTTAATTTCTTGGGTACCTGGATTTTTGACATAACCAATGATTTTGATTTTACTCGACTTGATATTAATTAATTCTTTATCAACTTGACTTGGGTACCTATTCTTGTCTGTTTGTGATTTAGTTAAAAACGTAATTCCACAAACACTTTCTCCTCCGGGAACAGCCCCATGGCTCCGGGAACAGCAAGGGCCTCCATCACCATCAAGCATTTCAAGTAGTGGTTCAACATCACCAGGCTATTCACCAAGTCGGACAGTCGGTGACTTATCAGGTTCAAGTACCAGCTTTTCGAGCGAACGGAAAAATGCACATCACTGGCAAAATGGACCGGTCCAAGAATGGACTAAAGAACAAGTAACGTTTCCGAATATATACTCGATGAGCATTTTTCAAATTTTCGATAAACATTATCTTTTTATTTGAATATTGACTATTCAGGTTTGTCAATGGCTTTTGGCTTTGGGTCTTGAACAACACACTCCAAAATTTTTGGAACACGGCGTTGAAGGTGGCGCATTATTACAATTAGATTCACGTGACTTGAAAATTCTAGGCATTGGTGGTGATGACAAACGATTGTTCAAGCGAAAATTGAAAGAACTGAAGCATATTGTTGAGAAAGAGAAGCGGCAAATGGAGAAAGATCGAAAGGAACGTGAAAAAATGATCCGAAAGGCCGAGAAGAAAGCTGAAAAAAATGCATCTAAAAAGAAGTAGATGCAAATACCCATTTGGCGCCACTTATCGAATTTAGTAGTGCACTTTAAAAAATTGACATAGAATTTTTGATTTTCTTGAGCTTCTTCTGAAGCTAACATGTATTGGACTTACAAATCGAACTACGTTACAAGCATCCACGAACAAGGAAAAGGGCACATACAAGGTGTATTTGCTGTTAGTAAATTTTGTAATTTTGGTTCAGATTTATGAATTTTGTGTATACATGTTTGGAACGAACAATTTGCATCGATAACACTGGCTCCAATTACCATTTTTTTACCAAGAGATTGAATTCAAAAGACGCCGTTGCAACTCTTCGAATCACATTAGACTGGCTACTCCTTCGACCCCAAGGAAGTACCTTTCATATTGTTCATGAAAGCAAAAGATTTTCAAATCTACAAGCCAATGAATACAGTGTTATACAATTTGGGTTTGTAATCCCCAAAAGAATCTGGCATCTGAACAACTAGGAAAACTTTTATGCATCCCTGGATCTACAAAAAGAAACAAAGAATAAACACTATAATTTTTAAAATATCAATGAACTACCTAATTATAACATGAATTTGTACAAGAAGTTTTTTTTTCAACAAACTTAGTTGTAAATCAGCATTCCAGCGAATATGGAATCTACTTAGACGAATTTTTTTTTCAATCCAATAAAAGACGTCATTATAATTTAATAAAAATAATATAATAAAAGTAGCACCGTGACTATATAAGTTGTAGCCCATTGTAGCCAGTAATGTGAAAACTGTTCAAAATAGATACTAACCCATTTGGTCAGACCTATTTAAGAATTCAAACACTGTAGACATTGAAATGGTAAAATAATAGTGAAGAAATAAAAACGAAATGAAAAAATAAAAAAAAGAACGAAAAAAACCTAAACCAAAAAGGATTTCATTAAGTCATACGAAAAATATGTGTCAAGCGAGTTTTTGTATAGAAAAATGTCAAAACCAAGACCTCTTAATATTTCATTTTCAAACAATTTGATGGTTTTCTACGTGAATGAGATTTTTATGAAACTTTTCACATTTTAATAATCAATTCCGTTTTGCACACATCTTGACATTTAAAATTTTTAATTCCAATATATTCGTCCTTCAAAACTAAAACAAAACGAAATAAAAAAATATTTCCAATATGCAGTATTGTATTCAAACAAATATTGATTGAATTTAAATCGAGTGACAACTAAATACAGAACATATAAAAATATTTGCTTCTAAAAAATTAATCGTAAATTAATGTGTCAATACACTTTACCAAATGATTCTCAGAAAAATTACGAAGATTTAGGCCAACATCCTTATATTTGAAGAAATTAAACATCTTAAAATGTGGAAAAAGTATATAGCGATACTTCGTTGAATCGGGATCCTTTTAAGACGATATTATTGACATTTATGTATAATCTCACGTTATAGTCTAATGACGTTTCAAAACAAATTATTTTATGATTTCTCTTAAATTATTTAATTTTTCTATATAAGTGGTTCATGAACTGATGAAACGAAAATTAACTTATTCGAATGATTTAATTTATAAATACTGTCTCCTTGTTATGTTTTTTTCTACTTGTTCCCTTCTTTTTCTGATTACGATAAAATAAAAATAAAAGCCATTGATTATATAATAATATGTATTCTTGTTTTCACTCACTTACCATAGGGGAATAAGAGCTAATAATCGCTGCTTCTTCTGCTCATTGAGAGGTTGAACGTTCTTTACAGTAGAAAAAGTGCATTATTCAGAAGGAAGTGAATCAATTCATACAGCATGTAAAATGTGCAATTATATCATCGATTTGGTGTGCACTGTGCACACAACTTCAAATTTCTGATTTCACAGACAATGTCGTTTACATAATGACAGTAGGGTCGTATGTATTATTAGCCTTTTTTCAAGCGTGGATCATAACGGAAAAAAGTGTCTTCGCCATATATCTGAACCCTTGAGAATAGGGGGCAAACCTTAACGAAGTGCGTAGAATCAGGAACCCTAAGGGCTAACCATTTTTTATTGAAAAAGTCTGTTTTTATCGCCAATTTTAATGACATCCGTAAAAAATTGAAAAAATCTGTACATATTGAATTTTATCGTTTAATATCGACTATAAACGTTTGATGTGCTGACGTCATTACCGATTCAAAAATGCTGGAAGTGGGTTTTAGTGGATCCTCAGGATCGTTTAGTACTGCTCCCGGTTCTGGAAGTGGATCCTCAGGATGGGCCAGGGCATTGTCAAACCCAGTCTGGTCCATCCTGAAGATCCACCGAAACCCACTTCCAGAATCGGGAGCAGTTCTGAACGATCCTAAGGATGCACCAAAACCCGCTTCTAGAACAGTATGCATTCGTTAAAGCGAAAAAATTACTGCAAAAATCGGGCAAAATAGACCAAAATGTGATCATATCGGAATTTATTTCTTTAAATGATAAAAAATGTTAAAGTCGATCATTATTGGTTATTTTTAAAACCGTGGTTAGCCCCTAGCAGGAACCTGAAACTAGTTGCACACAAAGAAGAAAAATATTGTTGCAATCATCGCTAAAAAATCGAAACGTTACAATAGTATATTTCCAATAGTTCATATTGTATAACACGATACTCAAGTATGCATTGAGTTTTTGCTCGAAGTGTAGTCTGCATAGTGCATACACAATCTAATCGGGTGTCTGGTATGGGGTCATCGAATCTCCCCATCAATGTAGGGGGTCGAATTGCGTCGTTTTTCTTGTAGTTTTTCTAATTATCAGTCAAATATTGACATTGATCATTTTCCTGTCACAGCATCGCCATTTTTGAACAAACAAATATACAGCTCACGAAAAGAGGATGTTCAGCGCAGTACTAAATAAATATATCAATGCAAAAAAGAAGTGATTTGTCAAGTTTTAAGAAACAATCACCACAATCTTCAGAAAAAACTAAAACCTATACAGAACACTGACAAAGAGTGAATGTTTTGATTAAAAGAATTTCGAATACACTGATAATAGTTATTTAATTCATTCATTCATTCATTTTCGTTACTTAAAACTATGAAAATAAAATATTTTAGCATTGAATAGTGATGTGATTGCCTGAAGAAATTTTGGCCCAAAGATAAGAAATCTATTCAGAATCAATTTCAATGATTAAACGACTAACGAGACTTGCTAACAGATATTGTCGACTTTTGCCCACTTCTACAACTTCTTCGTGGCCAGGCTCCTCATTGCTTTCGTATTCTGTGACGCATTTGTTTGTTATGATGCTGAACGCAAAGGCTTTCATATCACAATGTCTCGCTGTGATTACCTAGGAAAAAAATTATTATATGAATGGTAGTAATGACAACAATTGATGTTCATGTAACTCACCTCATGTACGGTTGACATGCCCACACAATCAACACCAAGAATTTTGAGCATTCGAAGCTCAGCAACTGTTTCATAATTTGGTCCACCCAAACATGTATAGACACCTTCATGTACCAGATTTTCTATACCGAGATCACGAGCAATTTTTAGGGCGCGATGCTTTAAATCGATGTCGTATGCCTTATTCATTGGTGGAAAACGTGGACCGAATCGAGTATCGTTTGGTCCTTGCAGTGGATTGTTGCCAGCAAAACCCATTAGATTAATGTGATCCTTTACAATGACAATATCTCCAACATTGTAATTTTCGTTCAAACCACCAGCTGCATTAGTTGCAATCAAATTGGTTACTCCAACCAATTTCATTACACGAATTGGCATACAACATTTGGCTAATGGATATCCTTCATAGTAATGAAACCGTCCCTGCATACACATCACCGCCACATTATTTATTTTGCCGAAAATCAGCTGACCCGCATGGCCTTCAACAGTCGATACAGGAAAATTTGGAATGCTTTGATAAGGAACTACATCCGCATTTTCAATACTTTCAGCTAATGATCCAAGACCTGAACCACAAATGATACCAATCTTAGGCCGAAACTTTGTACGATCCAGTAAATAATTTGCAATGCTGCTGAGTAATTCATATGAATTGCTGAAAAAATAGAAGAAAGAAACAAAAAAATATTTTAAAATTGTACACACCGATTTGGTTACTGCACAAAACGTGTTCCAGATAGTTGCTTGATTAGACTATGTTGATTACTCATTACAGAAGATTAGAAATGACTTTTTGCCAATTAAACATTTGACTTTTCATGTCATAATACTTTCTCAGAGAAATACTGATTTCCTTCTAGAAAAAATTTAGGGGATTTGATTATTTACGGACTAACTGGATTATGCATTTTCGATGAACACATTTCTGAGTTCTGACACATTATCCGTCATAATGTCGCAGCTATCACAAAAATTTGCACATTATAATGATTGAGTTTAAGACAAGTATATATCACTAATTGACCGTAGATGGATGGTGTAATTAAAAAGTGAATGTTGAACTATTGTATGATAAATCAGCACACAGCCAAACCACGTAGATCGCGTGAATTCATAAATTTAATGACCATTTAAATAGAGATATTTTAATCAAAGGCATGACATTAAAGTACAACGTAACAGTGCTCTGACGAAATCACTGGAAAAAATTTGATTGGAATGTACTCCAATCATTTTGTTGTCATTTTTAATTGATGCATTTGGATTATTGATTTTAATTGGAAAATAAGACATGAAAAGTATTACAATTAATGTGAATAGTTAGGTTTTTGTCGTTTCTTGTCGGCTGACTTAGACAAAATTGCTGAAGTAATCAACATTCTTCACAAACTCATTTAAACAAATCAAGGGCCACACAAATCACCACAAATAATGTCGCGAGATTAAAATGTGCATATCATTTTGACTTAACGGTAATTTTGGTAATTTTCCATATCTTTAGATTGGAAAATAAAAATAAATTGCATTCGAAAATTAAATTCTGTACTTACAATTCTTCAGTTTCATTTGAGCCATTACTGTAATTCTTGAGAAAATTGTGTTTGAACGGAGACCCATTCGGGGATTGATTATACTTTGCACTGTTGCCATTTGTATGGTTGCTGTGGGAGCTGTGACAATCCGATGGAACTTTGATTGAATTCATGTTATTCATTTCGTAATTTTTACGTGTAACTTTCACAAACAAAAATAAGGTATTTAACTTTTAGTTTGGGCAAACCAAAATTGGCGTGGTCTCCAAATGCAAATATGTTATACGAAAAAGAATGAAGAGCAGACGAACGATGTGTCTACGCTTGAATATGTTTTACTGTTTAAGCCTCATCCGTACATACCATCAGCTTATTTATAATGCGACCGGGAAGATCGTATCGCTGTAATTTTCTTGCTCTCCATAAGAAAGGGAGAGAGTATGTGTATTGGTTGTTGTTGAGGATAGAATAATATATGCGATCAGCAAATTAGATGTAGTTGTATTGAAAACAAACTGAGAACATGAAGAAAAGGGAAAAGTGAAAAGCAACAGACTAGAAAGAAAAAGACGAAGAAAGAAAATAACACACTGATAACATTCATCGGTAAAATGGTAGGTTAAATGCTTGTTTGTTCACATTTACGAGCTGCCGAAGCGGACGGAACTGTTATTGTGCTGTGAACCTCGCATCCCAGCAATGTATATTATCAATTTTAATGTTATTTTTCATTCAGTAATTGACGAAATATAGCAAGTAAATCAAAACACACATGGGGTAAAATGAAATTCAATAAGATCATTCAAATCATCACTAAGTGGTCTTTCCAGCACATTATCTTCGCACATTCATTCCTTACTTTTTGCTCTGTTGCTTCCCTGTCAGCTGTTGTCGCAAAAACTTATCATGTTCTCATGACACGTTTTTGAGCGCATCACACTGTCTTTACATCCTCACTCTCAGAGTGAGTGGAATTCCAAATGACCGAAATTCGATCAATTTATAGGCAAATGGAGTACTATAAAATTTCCTGCTTCTTAATATTAAAGAATTGAGTTTATCTTCATGGCTAGCTTTTTTCAACTTGGTCTGCAATGCTTATAACTGAAAAATTTCGAACAAATTTCACAAGCAGCAAATTTTTGCTATATCTCTCCTTAAATGCCTGTGAAAAGAGTCGCCATAATTAGTTGGTTCATTAGTCTGATTGCATGTTATTAAGCTTGTTAAGCAGGTATACTGCAAATCAATTACTGAGCATCACGTCATTTTCAGTATCGGTGCATTCCACGTTCCATCCGATTATCATCCTGGCGTGAAACCATTTCCAGGGATTGTGTAACGGCTTTTTTTCGTGTAAAGTAGTAGGTAGTTAATTTTTTTCAAATAATTCATCTGTCGACATTTTTGGAGTAAGTTTGTTTACAATCGTTGTATATAAATCTTGACGTATTCATTGTTCTTTATCATAACGGAGCAAATACGTAGTCAGAATTGTTTTTGTTTTTATTTTCAGTTATTTGATTTGGAAGTATCAGTGATTTTTTTGTCTTCATCAAAATGTCAAAAGTTCGTGTCATTGTTTTTCATTAATTGATAGTAATTCCGCATAAGATTAATTTTTTACGATGATTATGTCTATTTGATAGTTTTGTTGTTACAAATATGTTTATTTACACAATTGTTAGATGAAAAAAAAAACGGGAACAGAAAAGTGTTCTGAATGAATTCGCCAGAAAACGAATTCGCTGACATTGTGTCGATGTCATTTGACATTTCAAATGTCATTTCATTCTGGTACAACAACTTTTCTGATTCATTGAAAAAAGCATTACAACAAACTGCAAAAAAGCCACATTCATTATTTGGATTAAAAATGGTGAAAAATTAAAATGAAATTGTTAAAATTATTATGGACTGTTTACAATGAAACAGCTCAAAATTCACAAATGAAAATTCAGTTCGATATCAGTATAGGTAATTTTATTGGTCATTTATCGATTATTACTCGAACCATGTGAATTTTTAAAAGTTTATTCTTCTTTTAGAAATAATCTGGTCAAACAGTTATTGAAAAGAATGCGAAACGGAGATTTGCCACAAGGCATGTACACTCGGATACCACAAAATATTGATTCCGAAAGTGAGGAAGAGTTTCGCTTACAAATGAACAATTGCCAGCTAAAAGGTACCCATCTAACAATTATCAACCCGAATACATCCGATTCCAGGCACATATCCAAGGTTGAATACGGGGATAGATTTAACCGTAAAAGTAACCGTCATAGTGATCCAATTGTGCATGGAATGAATGGAGAAAAAATTGCATAAAATTAGCATCAATACATTCAATACTCTTATTTCAATTGAAAAACAAATCATTTACTAACATGGGTATTTCTGACCTCTTTCGAGCTACACCTACTATACCACAACAATCAGGCTTATCGGAATGAACATAATGTTATATTTTAATTTTTAAATTATTCAATGTGAATGGCGTGAACGACGATCTATGATGCTGGTTAGTTGTTGACAGCAGCTCGCTGGTTGGATAGCCTCTGCAATGTTTCTGGTAACGGAAACTCAAACAAGTCACAGTGTCCTTGAAAATCATACAAGAAAACAATGAATGATGTGTAAATAAAGCACTGCACCTCACATGCAATTCAATCAATATATTATGAGCATTTACCTTTGATCAGGGTACATTTTGCAGCGGCAATGTCACGATGCCATGTCGTCTTGTGTGCTCGTGGCTCAACAACTTCCATCTCATCGGCTCGATTGACGTTCACGTATTCCAAAATTCCACTAGACCCATTTACTTGCCATGTTTTATAGTAGATCGCTACATTTGGGAGTAAATCTGGATTTAGTTGATCTGGATGTGGGACATCATTGCCAACCGCTGGATTTCCGTTGCCCTCTACCGCTTCTTTCTCGAGCAAAAACACTTTCAACTTCTCTTCCCTCATCTTTCGTTTGTTGACCTTGCACACGATCATTGATGGCAGCATTGCTCGTTCCGGTTGCGGCCGACAATCATGGCAGACTTTGAACAGATGTTGTTTCGTGCGTCGATCAAAACGGCCAAAGCACTTGGCGCATGTTAGTGAAGTTTAATACTCGTCGACCATATTAACCACACAACCAGGACACTTTTTCCGTATCATCTTCCGATTGCCCGGGTAGCGCAGTGTCTTTTTGATGCCGATGGGTGAACTGAGCGACATTTGACAGCTCCGAAATGCATAAGAGATGGCTGATGGTTGGTCAACATTCCGGCTATGCTATCGGTCACACTGTTTGATCGAACATACTTGTCAAAATTCGGTCTCGTGTATTTGTCTGTCGTATACACGGCAATGCCACGTTCCGTCCTTTTGAGTCGATGCTGAATGTTGTCCTTCCATTGCCTACCCAATGGCGATGGCATCACCGAATAGAGCGCACGATTTTTACGATCCCACCTCTCTTCCTTGACAAAGTCCTTGGTCCACCGATTTCCCTGTCGATTTCGACCCTTTTGCTTCGTCCAGTAATGATACTGTTTGCTGCTGATCGTGTAGTTCGTCTAAGAAACGAAACGAAACAGAACAAAACAAAGAAATCCGTTTAGATAACAATGAAAATGTCAATGGCATAGCTTCGGTTTATCAAATAAACAATGCACGTATATTGTTTACCTCTTTGCCAGTTTCAATGTTATGTACCGTTGTTGCGTTCCACGTATTCATACCCGGATCAGTTCCACCTTCATTGACAAACTTTTTGTAGTTTTGAACAATGGCCTTTTTGTCCGATTCCATGTTGCTCATTTTCGTTTTGTCAATATCAAATTGTAGCGATACGGCCTGTGAGAGAATTTGGGAACGGAACTTTTTTCTACTGCGACCGAGCCGATAGATTTTCCGCATATCGAAGAATTCGTTCCAATACAACTCCTTTTGTTTTATGAACTATTCGCGTGTGATGAAAATTTGGTTGTATTCGCCTTGCTTTTTCGGTGCGATTTTCAGTCCACACAACAAAGAGTACAATGTTCGATTGTCCAAGTGGGTACGAGTGAAACTGCAAATGGGAATCACTGCCAGATTTTTCACTCTCGGCGGCCCTTTCTCGATGTACTTATGTTGGCCTCGGTCTGTCGGCTGCTGGCAAGTGCACGGACGGTGATTTCGACGTCGGCATCGTTTCAGCTCTTGAAACTCTTCACGTTGGCATCGGCGTACTTCACGATATCTCACACATGTGTTGAATTCATCCAATTGCCGCTGGAGGGAAATCCAGAATGCGATGCTCTTGAACCAGTTCTCTCCCTTTGTGAATCGGCCGATGTTGTTGTTTGGTATGTCCCACCAACTGTTGTCTGTGGCCATTTCAATCAACAACGTACGCCGCTCACGTTTGGCAACATCATCCATGCCATTGATTTCAATATCGTCTTTACCAAAAATTGCCAAACTAATCACACGGTCGATGTCGGCCTCTTCGTATCAAACAACCAACGAAGATTCGAACACTTTTACCCGCAGCCATTCGCGCAGGCGTTTCTTGCTATGCGTCTTCAAGTTGTTTTTTGTGTTCGTCACGTACGGATCTATTAAATCATTCATTGCCGAAATGTCGCATTGGGCCAAACCACTCCATGGCCATCGTCCAGCTGATGCACCATTTCACGAAATTCCGGCAACATATCGTTCGTGTAGATGTAATCCTCCAGGACACCAAAAAAATCATGACCGGATCACCTGTTCGCCATTCTGTTGAAAAAATGCTTTGTGATTTTCGTCGAATGCGCGCTCACAACGGCACAGGAACAACTGCGAGGCAAGTGCGCAAATTTTCGTTGCCATTATTAATTTGTCGGTGACGGCTTTAATCAACTACTCACGGTATTTCTTATGAAGAATGGAACGTAACTGGGTTTTGATTGTTCGTATGTCCGAGTCTTTGTCCTCCTCATCTTTGTCATCCTCAATCTTGTCTGAATCAAGCATCACAATTGGCTTCGGCTTCTTTCTTGATTTTTTGCACTGGTAGCCCATCTGTAATTCAAGAGCAAGAAAAAAACAGAAAAAAATAATATGAGTCGGTAAACGAAAAAAAATGAGGGAAACTAAACCGATATTATGTATTTTCTACCTAAAAACATTGACCAAATTACTTAATTTGAACAAAAAGGATAAAAAACAAACACTATAAATCGAACAATATTCACAACAATCAACTTGCCTTTTCAAATGCTCAGATCAATATGAATCAACCGCCACCCGTTTGACAGCTGAATATGGTTTTGACATTAATACCGTACCGTAACAACTCTACTCACTTCGTGATGAAATTCATGTTTAATCGGTTCCGATATAGAAACTCAATACATTCTCATAACGGAACCAAAGTAAACAAGTGCAACACCAAGCCACCGTAACGAATGAGTCCGTTGTATTGTAATGTATGAGATGAAATAGAAGTGTTGACTCTGCGTTTTCGTGCGACACAAATCGAAATTCTTGTAAGATGTTTGTTTACAATTCGGTTGACACAGAGTAGTAGTTGGAATGGATGTCATTTCAAACGTTTGAATTTTACAGAAGCTGAGTAGCGTTCCGAATATTCATACAGTTGGTTTACACTGAAATTTCAGTCGATTTTGACGAAAAAAAAAGACTAAAAACGTTACATCTTTTAACGTTAAAAATGACTAAATTGCGTTATATGAATTAATCTGAACTAGAAAGAAAGAATTTTCTCGTGTCACGTACACTTTAAAGTCGATTTTTGTTTCCATTGATTCGAAATGTAGCCGAAAAGATCTGTTCAATTGATATTTTTGTTTTCTTTTCCTTTTTTATTATTATGCATCTAAAAGGTAGCCAAATCGTGGCACGAAATCTGAAATCATCAAACATGCATACCACAATGAGTCGATTGCCAGAGTCTTTACCCGATGTACGATTTGCAAATACGCAATCTCACTATTCAAATCACAGTCGAATGCCAAGTGATGCTGATAATGTTGCAATTTTAAATGCAAATCTGAGAAAAACCCAGCCAATGGGCCTGTTAAGGAAAGCCGTCTTCATTATCTCGATATTTTTATGCATTTTTACGGTGATCTTTTTTGTTTGGATTTTACCATGCTCGGAAAGCAATTCTTGTCCAGCAAATCGAATCCATACCCATAATTGGCTGCGCTCTTATGAGCGTGTCGAGCTGAAAGGCACTATCAATGTTGTTCCTGGCATTCGTGGCCGAAGTAAAAATCTAGTGTTCATGTATCGCAGAAATAGCTTTTTCAAGAATGATGACACTCCCAGCACTGGATCTTCAAAACAAAATGGTATTATTTCACTGATTGGTAGTTCAGGGCAGGTTTGTGTAATTCAATCATTTGCTATAGTAGATTTTAGTACAGTTTATTTTAAAAAAATATGTTCATTTCCTCAATTTCAGGTTGCTTGGTATGACGAACTAGCAAACGAACCAAGTATAATCGATTGTAATTTGATCGATGCTGACTCTAGTGGCGACACAGATTGCTTGGTTATTGATGAACTTGGTCAAATGAGCTGCATAAATCCGGTATCAGGCCAATGGATTTGGCATGTGGCTGAAACGAATATTCCAGGAAAATTGAATTTTCCATTAGTTCTGCCCGATATAAACGGTGATGGTGTGAAAGATCTACTAATTGCTAGTACGGTGAATATATCAAACCAGAATCACACGAACAATGCTTTGAAGTTGATATCTGGAGCCAATGGGAAACAAATTGGACGGAGCTACATAGTGAAAAAATGCTCCTTCATTCATCGATTTCACATTGATGCACAGCTTATAATTAGCTTCAATTGTATCATTAACGATACCGATATTCGCATTATGAACCCCTTGCAAGAAATCTACACGAGAGCGATGAATCAAAGTATTTATTTGCCAGAACGAAGTAGTGAAATCGAAAATAATCAGCACAAATTTTATGGACAGCGAAAAGATACACTTCGACAACGTAACATTTACTCAGTCAATGAGAAACAGTTGATTGTGGAAAATAACGGTGTTTGTCCTGAGTCTTGCAATGTTACACTCACAATACTTGAAGAATCGAAAGGAAAGCCAAAAATTCTGAGGAATTTCAATGGTACAAGAATGTATGGGTAAGTAAACTATTGTAATGAGGTTTTAGTTTTCTTTTAACACCGACAAATTCTGTTTTACTTTGTCCCAATAAAGAATGGTTCCAGCACGACTTTCATTCAACAACAGCCAAGATCCATTGAAGTCATCTGTTCATGGTTTTGTAATAAAGTTCTGGGAATGGAGCACCAACGAAACAGACAAATTTACTAGCGTTGCAGATAAAAATTCAATTAATCGTGCAGATAATTCCACCGAATTTAATCGATTTGATAATATTTTGCGTAAAAAACGTTCATGGAATCTAGTACACCCAAACGCAAATGCAAACGAACAAAAACAAGAAACCAGCAATAAGAATGTGCCCGATCCAGTAAATATACCGTCAGCCTTGAACAATAAAATCGCTACCGAAATGATGCTGGCATCACAAATGCGAATAATTAAAGAAACCATTGTACTTATAATATTCAATTCAAGTGATATTCGCATCGAAAACACTAGTCAAAGTAACATCGTGCAGTTTTGCCGAAATGACGGACGGAATGAAGTCTGTCAACCAGATCTGAACTATCAAGAAAATTCAGTGTTAATAGCTGATCTTGATCAAGATGGATCACAAGAACTAGTTTCATATTATTCAACATTCGTTGAGGATGAGAGTGAAGCCAGCAAATGGAAACTGTCCACATATGTCCAATTGTTGCGTTTACAATCCGAGCTCCCAAAATTATATGCTGTCGGTGAAAAGCATTGATTGAACAGTATTGAAGCGGATGATATTCTGCAAATGTATGGTTTGAACACTTGACACATATGATGCGGTTAAAATGAATTCATCAAAGTGAAACATGGAAAAGTAATCCGTAAGAATGAAACATGGCATGTGCCATTTTAAGTATTTCGCATTGCGGTGTTCCGTTTTGATGCAGTTTCGTTTTGAACGAATCCTCTCGCATTGTTACATATAAATGGATCTATATCACATTGTTTCGTTACTCGAATATTTTTTCGTGTGTTTCATTTCAATTGATTCCCGAACTATTGCTAACGTCACACGTATAGAAGTAAAAATCGGTAATATATATTGTTTTCGTCATTATACAATAACAAGGGTAATAACTAGTTATTACCGCTCTTATTACCGAAAATCAGTAATAAGTAATAAGTAATTAGAATACTTCCGAAGTTAGAAGAGAAATCTCCGCTCCATTGCTGCTTCTGAAATTAGAAGATTATCTTCTAATTTCGGAGGCATTTTTATTTCATGCAATGCAGCAATTGTATCGAACGAAACAATTTTTAAATAAAATTATCTATTGGAATCGTTTGACGAAATTAGGAAAATGTGAAATCATTGCTGATTTGAAGCAAATCGGATGCAGAATCAGGGTGCTTCCCGAACAAAATGTTCGATTTTCGTTCAAAAATGAACCAATTTTGTTCAGCGGCTATGTTTATTTCGGATTCAAATTGCTCCAAATTTACTTAAAATTCGTTTCTCTATGAAAAATTACATTCCCATAGTATTTATGAAATTTCAGCTGGAAATAAACATAGCTAATAAATCTTTTTTTTTCGTCTGATAATTCGTTGAATTTGATTGGAATATTGTTGAAATTTTTTTATTGAGGCAGAGCGTCAAAAAAATCGAAATCTTGTTTAAAGTATGGTTCAAAGTTGTATTTTTATGCAGGAGTTTTTATATCGTTCCGGAGTTACTGTAGCACCATTTAGTTGATTTAGTCGTAAAATTATTGCGACAAATTTTGCCTCCAAAATTAGAAGATTTCAGAAATTAGAAGTACCCGAAGTACAAACACCTTCTAATTTCCATTGTATAACGTAAACTAAAGAACGTAATGAGGAATGTAACGAGAAATTCCGTTCATTCATAATCGTTAGTGAAGCCACGTTGCCAAAACCTGTACGTTCTTGTTTGTTTACTGCGCACTACTTATAAACCAATGCATTTCAACCGGCGCTCCGAGGTTTCTATACAAATTTCCCATGTAGACGATTCGAAATAGACAAAAAATCAAAAAAAAAGTTAAAAAAAACATTTTTTTCGATTCTAATACAGCATTTTATGTGCTCCACAACACCAATGGATTGTGTTACCGCCAAATCGAAATTTGTATTCTGTGATAAATACGTGTGACGTCAGCAATAGTACGGGTAAATTAGTTGAAATGAAACACACACAAAAATATTCGAGTAACGAAACAATGCGAGAGGACTCGTTAAAAACGAAACTGTAGACAAAAAATCTATCAGAACGGAACACCGCAAAGCGAAATACTTAAAATGGCACATGCCATGTTTTATTCTTACGGATTTCTTTTCCATGTTCCACTTTAATGGATTGCTTTATTTTTTTCCGTATCTATTTGTCGAGCGAACTAAGTTTCACGTTCATTTTAACCACATCATATGTAAAGCACATTCTGTACTTTGTTCAAGCTTTGAAGACGTATGTTAAAATAATATCGGACCAAACTTCTTAACCTTACAAATAATGTGTAATTTTATCAATTTTGAGCAACGCGTCTATCTAGTCACAGATAATGGAAGTGATATGTAAGTTAGGGTGTTCAGGTTTGGGGAGTCAAATAAGAATATATGATTTCTACGCAGATTTCGGCCCAAAAAATCGGAATCAAACAATAAATCGTCCTTCATTGCTAATAAATTTGGAATTTCACCGAAATATAACCGTTTTTATGTGTTAGTACTAATTGACTCTTTGTAGCTCAAATTGTCTAATGTTCTAAAAATTAGCAATGTGAACCGATCCGTATGGCATTTGACATTCACTTCAGCAGTTTTCGAAATGTCACAGACGCCGCATCATTCATTCCGAGAAAACATACAGCGTTGTGAACACGAAGTCAACAAATTGAAACTCTTACATTTTATCTTACAATTTAAACTGGAAATTTACATTGCAATTTAATTTATCTACGATTTTGCTGGTATTTCATTTCGTTTTATTTTCGATTTACGTGCGTTTTGTATCGATTTGATCCGGAGTTCACATTGAATTCAAGTCGCCAAAGTGTAAGTAAACTTGATCATTTCAATCTCTTCTTCTTATTGTGGAATTCATTTTAAAAACGTTTTATAAGCATTTATAACGTGAAATATATTGAACATATCAACAGTAATATTAGATTCCATGTACAAAAGTAATGAATTTCACAATAATTCTGCAGTACATAGTTCTGTTACATGTGATGGTGAAATACGTGTGATGGTGAAATTCATTTTATGCAATGAATTGAGTCCATTGTTCGGAGAAGAGAAACAGTTAATCGATTACTGTTCGAACTCAAATTGAATCAATGCCATTGTTATCAAACCGAAGTCATTTTTGTGTGTCTCATTCTGTTGTCATTTTCAAACTAAATCGAATTTAAGTTTCAATATTATTCGTTTTCAAACTAAATCGAATGTGTGTTTTTTTTCTTTCAGTAGGACAATGGCGAATCGTTTCAAGCCATCAATACCAGCGGAGGGAGAGACGAAAGATGAAATTACGACGATCAAATGTGCGCTAAAGACAATCATTCGCCCACAATACCAGCAAGCATTGATGAGCAAAATAACGGATCTGAGTTTGCAAGCCACTTCCATTTGTGTTTTGGGCTCATTGCTGTTCTTGTTTGAGGTGCAAAAGGCATTCGAATATAGGCGTCGAGAACAATAATTTCGCATTGTTTGGTGGAAGTGGAGAAGATAAGATCAAACTCTGCTTTGAACAAGTGCTATGGCACAACAATCAGCCACCAAAACCGAAGTCAAGGTATAAACCAAGCGGAACAAAGCCACGAGGACCACGAGCAGAGCTGCCACGTATCGATCCTGAATTCAAGGCAATTGTCGAAGGTCTTGACGACTATCATCGTATCGATTGGCCCAACAACAAAGATTTCTGCAATGGCCTTAAGCATTTGAGCAATCAGTACACAGATAACGTGGTCACCAATCTTGAAACGCATGCTAACAAACACATCACCCAGTACTTGGTACTGAAAGTGTTTGAATTGAACTCAAACTTGGAAGAGGATGGAGAGAAATTTTTGCCAAGTGACATCGAAAATGTTGTCAAGTTGATCATCAAGCAAAAAGATATCAAAGTGCCAAGTCGCGATCCAAACAAACTTGTACGGTGTGAGGTGTTGTATGATATCGTGAGAGATTGCAATGTGTTCCCAGAAATCGATCTGCATGACCTTACAACTGACCCAAAACATTGGTATAAGGCCATGCCAATGTACCTATCTATGCAGCGCGAGATAGAAGAGTACAATTCGGAGTGGCCACATCAGCGCCGACCCAAACATAAGAAAAGAAAGCGAAAAAAGACAAAAGGAAAATGGAAACGCAAGCGCAGCCAAATGCTCGACAACCCAGATTTTCGGCCATTCATCCGAAATTTAGTAGTGGTGCCGATGTGTGATTTCCGGCGTACGCACTTCAGAATCGATTGTTCATCCATGCACCAGGTGTTGTCTTCGCAAAAATTGCTACCGAAAGTGGAAATCGAGAATAAAAAAGGAACAACAAGCACGAAAACGATTCAACAAAAGGATTTCAATCATTCGAGAGATTATTGGTGGAATCAGTATTTTTACATGCGAAAAATTCGACGATTCGTACGTGCCAAAAAGCAGTTTGACTTTTCCATAAACACCGATGGAATCTCTGTGTCTCTCCAGTACTCGGCCAAAAAGAAGACAGACAACAAAGAAATCGACCAAAAATCTCGCATCATTCAGAAGATTGAGGATGGCACAATCAAAAATTATTCGGGCGTTGATTCAGGTGTGCGAAGTTGGAATACCACAACAACACACGACATTGAAACTGGCAAAGAAGTAAGTTTTGTATACATTCGAATAAGTTGTGTGTATTTTAATAGAAAATGCTCAAGTGCCAAAACTCAATAACTATACCTTTTTTTCTATTTATTTTTTCAGACCAACTTTGTAATGTCGAGCAAGCAATTCCACTGGCAAACAGGTCAAAAGGTGCGAAATGCCAAAGCAGCGCGATGGACCAAAAATTTCGTCGAAATGGAGCGCGCAGACAGAGAAAATCGTGATCTGTATCCAGTGATGCCGTCGCCAAAAGGGTCAATGTGGCTGAACTACATCAAACATCGAGTCAAGATGATGAAGCATGGAATCTGCGCTTACTCGACTGCCAAATACACTCGACTCGCCTTGGACAAACACATCAAGAGCAGTAGTGTTGTCGACGAATGGGTGAATAAGGTGACCGATAAGAAACCGACTCTGTTCTTTTTTGGTGCTGATGGCGAAATACCACCTGATAGCCCAATAAGTATCAAGAAGCACGTGCGCTGCCCAGGGGTGCGTAAGACTTTGAGGTCAATAAAGAAGCGCCGAGATTGTTTCATACAATTGGTGGACGAATGGGGAACATCTCAAACCGACGCAAGATGTATGAATCGATTCCAAAACCAGAACAAAGCGGCCAGATTCAAGAAATGCCGATGCGTACCCGACGCCAGAACATTGCTGCCAACGAAAATTGTGTCAAAGTTGGGCAAAACGGATCTATCGATCTACCGACAGTTGCAACGCGCCATGAACGAAGAAGCATTGGTAGGAGACGAGCGTTTATTCCCAAAAGTAAAATGTTACTACAAAAACTGGCGATTAAACCTCGAATGCTCTGTGATTTGGCATCGTGACGTCGTGGCTGCTAAGAACATTCTACTGAAAGGTAAGGCTAATTGACGCACAATTTCGATTGAATGATTTTTTAAGAAGTTTCATTTGTTTAATTGTTCAGGACTATGGACATTACTGGGACTTCCGATACCAGAGGCGATCAATAGGTATTGGCGCGAAGCTGCTGAAGCAGCCGCTGCTGTTGCCGCTGCTGCTGCCGCTAGAGCAACCGCTGAAGCAGCCGCTGCTGCTGCCGCCATCGTGGATAATGATGTAGAAATGTTCGAGTACGACCAGCAGCCAGCTGATCATGCTGTCTAATCAGCACATTGCAAACAAAAAAAAAAAAACAAATGTAACATTAGTTATTAAAGGCTATCCCGATCATGTGGGATAGTTGCGTTGAAGCAAGTTGACTCCCCATCTGGTTGATGTTAACTGCGCAGGAGTACTCTAGTGGGTCGTTTAGGTAAGCATTATTCGATTTTGCAAAGAGTTTTTTTTTCTTCTGGAAGTGTTGTATAACGCTCTATTAATGCTACCAGTTGACATAAAATTGGCTTCTCTTTAAATTTATGCTATTCATTCTTCTTTTTCAGATTAGCTGAACACCCTAATGTAAGTGTCGTGTATTAGAATTAAATATGATCATGAAACATTTTATTTAAAAAATGAACGTAAAGCTTTCCCCTTTTTATTAATATTTTTTGTTTAATTTTTATATCTATTTCATAAGATTTTGTTGTAATAAATGACAAGTGTTGATATTAATATAAATCCTAAGGTTTGTTTCAATGCTTTTAATTTATCTACAAATCGAATTTGAACATTTCATTCTTCGATGGGGAGATATTGCCTTGGTTATGCGCTGGCACCACTAAAATTTCAAAAAAGAATGATGCCTAATAGCACAACTACACACACATGAAAAATGACATACATTCGTTTTTCTCTAGCACTTGAACTATTCACCAACGCACACCCATACAACCGTGCCAATGTTTGTCTGTATAACGTGTATACAATGTATACCTTGATACTATGGAAAAAAAAGTGTTCATTGTGTGTGACGTTTTCCCATTGACGGCTAATACCATTTTTAGAGAAAGTTTTACGTGAAACTTTCGTCAACAAAAAGGCTGTTTTTAAAGTAATTTTATTGCGATTTTAATCATTTATTCGATAAAATGAGACACATGTAAATGTATGAAAACTTTGAGATTTCGACGTTGGAAGAAAAAAAAAATACGATACTCATAAATTTTTATTGAAACATTATGTGTTATTGTTTGTCTAGTTAGATGAAATCGAATCAATAGAAAAATAAATTCGTGGGCTATAATTTTTTGGTAATATCTCCAGGATAAACAGTTTGTGTACGATTTCTGCCCGTTTTGTTCAATTTATATTCAACCAAACAACCTTCGTATGTGGATTATATCGAGTAATTTCTACAGTGAATGAATATATTGGTTATACGAACGCCAAATGATCGAAAATAATCTGCTTGATAATCATTATATATGAAGTAATTTTAAATCTGGTTAAAAAAAGCACCGATATTCTTTGGAAAATATTTTCAGTTGGCTTTACAAAGTCATCGATTAAATTCATTATCATCACCATGAATATGGCGTCAACGTTCGAAGAGGAACAAAGTTTGAGAGAATGTGAAAATTACATTCAATCACATAATATTCAACGTGTACTAAAAGATTGCATCGTACAATTGTGTGTAGCCCGTCCAGAGAATCCAATTTCATTTTTACGGCAGTATTTTCAAAAATTGGAACGGGTAAGTTAAATACAGATGCTCTGATCTTTTTAACAATTCTAAAATACCTCAAATCAAACAAATATAATTGGTTCAGCGTCAAATAGAAATATGAAAAAGCGTTCGCATTGTTAGTGCTTACCTAATTGTTTGTCATTGGAAGTGTCAAAGGTGTGTTAAAATGACCGTTCATGTTCATGCTCATTTTGAAGCAAACGCAAACGCAAACGTGATTGTTTTGATACAGCATCTTGCTATTTTATTTTATCATAAGATGTAAAATTTTATTATTACTTCATCTTGAACACTGTAGTATTAACACAACTCCCTCTCACTGTAGTTTTTATTGTTGTGTACTAAAAGATGTGTGATGCTAAACAGAAATAATCGAATTTACCTATTTGGAATAAACAAAAATAATTTTCATACAAAAAAATACTAGTAAATATGAGTGATAGATAGTCTGTGATATCAATTATACAATATGAAAAGCAAAACATTCCATATTAATCGATGGAATTGACTCAACGCATTCAGGCGTCCCTATTATTAACATTTATATGTCTAACGTGGACCAGAAAACAATATAACAATTTATAAGCTACAGCGCAATACTAAGAAATCTCCATTTGAGACACGAAAAAATAATAGAGATTATACCGTTATAATTCACACAAACAAAAAAAGAGGCGATTTGATTGACCGGTGGCAACAACACATAACATACAGCTAGACTTTATAAACAAACTTGGTGTCAAATGTCAATCTATGGCGATTCATACACAGCTGTTCGCCCTAGTTTCAGAAGCTATCTTTTAATTTTTGGTGGTTCTATGAGTTTTAATTAGCCATTCTTCCTCTCCCTCTTCTTTCGAAATAAGACTTGACTACTCCAGCGATATCTAACGTTAATTTGTAATCACATACAAAGCCAAACAATCAAGATTGATTTCTGGTCAGTATTCTCAAATATTGATAGCGTTACATTAGCATAAGAATTTGATTCTTGGCATACCCCTAATATTTACGGTACAAAATTACAAAAAAAGTAAAATTAAATATCAATTTCTTCTGTTTGGTTAAATTAACGTCGGTTTACTTTATTACCCCAATAAAAAATATTCAAAAAGGCCTATCTACCTTGTATGTGTGTATTCCATTTTTTGATTGTTAGAATACGTATATCATATGAATTTCTTATACGATGCGTATGAAGAACTAACTATGTTCCATGTCAAATGTCGCATGGAAACCTCTTTACTTGAAATATATTTGAAAACAGACAGAACAAGGGGAATAAGCATATGAATACACACACTATTACCAACAACTGGAACAATGAAGCAAATGCGTGTGCACATCATACCTGCCACCTTTTTGTGTAGTGCGTGTACTTTTCGAACTTTTTTCAATCAATATATTATCCACGAATCATGAAAAATCCTTATTCATGTTGTATTTTGTTTCTATCACTTTTAGTTGTGCGTTCACTTTAGTTTCAATTTCTTTTCTAGCTTTAGTGTTCATCAGTTGTTTCGGGGAAATGGAATACTAACACGAATAAAAAATCATTGTGTAATTTTGATTGCATGCAAAATAATACAATACTTGGAAATTTAGTTTAATTCAGAACATACATTGATCGACAGCATAATGACGATTTTTTGATAATGTGAAAAGATACACAATTTACAAACATAAAATCACATGATAACGTGCATTACAAGATAAATAAAAAAAATACATTTATTCGATTAAAAGAAACAATTATATAGAATATATATGATCTGTTTATGTATAGAAAAAATTATATATAGAAAAGTTTGATATGGGCAATAATATTGTAGCAAGTGTGATGAAAGTCTTCGATCGTAGCCATTTGGAAATCGAATCAATAAGTGCTAAAATTGATCGTGCAAAAATCAATGGTATTCTTGAAACGCACGAAGTATGTGTTACATATACGGGAAATTCTCCTGATCATAATGAGTATCAGGTACACAAATTTGTATAGGCATTGAAAAGGATTATATGTACAAGTCTAGTTGAACTCCCCATAGATAATTTCAAACATTGTATTATGATCACAGAAATTGCACCCTTCAGTCATGTATTGAGAGACAGTAGACCGTTTCGTCATGTTGGAAAGTCAAACCCAACTTATACATTCTAAATCAGTAGAGCCGGAATATTTCAAATATATAATTTTTTTGTTATAAAAATTATTCCCGCGAACAAAATTGCGAATCAATAAATAAACGAATTTGAAAGGTTTTATCATAAACCGTACAATACGTTTGAGTCACGCGTTATTGCAAAGTTACGAGATATATGTATTTTTGATATCACAGTGACGAGCTATTGTTTTTATGAAAACGCATTGGAGTACCAAAGGGATTTCTGAAAGAGGTTTCCCGAACTGGAAAATTGTCTTACAAAATTTTCAGGGAGCCGATTTCTGAGTGATTTAAATATTTTTTAGTATTTCATTGACACCGCCAAAAACTGGCTGAATATTTTCGTTTTTGCAGGAAAATGACTCCAAGAGTCATGGAAAACTTGATCTTTTCGTGTTTTTACATTTGGGGCAAAACAAATAATTTCGATTAGGTAGTGGTTCTCGACTAGTATGAACATTTGATCTATGAGTTGGCTGATACATAAAACTTAACCTGAACATGGTTAGGAACATGTAGGTAGCCGCATGTCAACGGTCCAATATAGCCCAACTTAAACGCGTAAAAAACGAAAGACTATATGAAGCGTTAAACATTGTAATAACGACCCCGATTTGTTCAATATGACTGCAAAAGTCGTCGTTCAATTTATAGAAGAGGTGGTAAATTGAGGGGAAGTTTTATATTAAATTAATTTCCGGCTAATTGAATGATGTTATCATCAATAAGAGCGCTAAAGGATATCCGTATAACTTTTGGGGGGGGGGGATCGAATGGTAGTTGTAGTTTGCATTTCTGATGAGTCATTTTGATGAATTTTTCTGGTTGAAGTTAAAGTAATAAGATGGGATTTCAATGAAATCATTTCATTTTAATACTTTCACTTCAACCAGGTAAATTTCAAAAAACGGCTCACCAGATATGCAAGCTACAACTATCATTTTATTTCTTATCCAAAACTAAGCAAAACTGAGTTTCAGGGATTTTTGAGATATTTATTTCTGATCTGCATTGTTTTGTGCGCCGTATTTTTCAAGAGAAACGAGCGACTCTGTTGTTTGTCAAACATCCAATTATAATAGACGGAAAAATGAATTTTTTTGCATGAAAATAAATTCACGTGTCGTTTATTCAGATAAAATTTCAGTCGAATTTTTTTTGTGCACTTTTACTGAAATTTTTTTACGGGGCATTTCATTTTACAAAAAATTGTTCGCGGGGAGGACTACCAGATTATTTCATTAAAACAATTCTCCATTTTCACAATTACCATTTATCAACCCCTGTACATTTTGTGATTGGCCCAGGGTTGTCAATTTAAATCAAATCAAACAAATCAAATGAAAAAAAATTCCAAATCACAAAAATATACAATTCCTAAAAAAAATGTTGTTTTTCACACACCCAGAATGCAAGCTTGGGAAAAGTAGGAAATGAATAAAACTTCGATTAAAATTTGAACTATGTTCAACCCATTTTAAATGTGGAGATATCACAATATAGGATAAATGATTATGTGGTACAAAATGCACATAACTTAATTTGTACTTTCTTTATGTGGCTTTATTCTGTGTGATAGCTAGCAGAAGCTGAGAAAGTGGCAAGTTCTTTGGAGTGTGATGAATTTGATTCTAATTGCGGTACGAATATGATAAATTTGGAAAGTGAAACCACACATTTACAGAGCAATTTCTAATATTGATTTTAGTGTAAAATGTGTTCAAACTCAGTTTCTCAACGTTTACAATTTATGTTGAGCTTTTGTATTATTTACAGTCTATTTATGTTCCTCGGGATAAAATTTATCCCGGGGTATA